GAAACCTCCAATAAGAACCATAAATGCACAAACATTCCAGACAGAGATCACTTCGAAGATGTCAATCGTCGAGAACCAACCAACTGACCTCAATGCAAATATTAAACTTTTTCAGGGCTCCATCACCGAAGCACTTGATCATCATTGCCCCGTGAGGATAGTTACCTTTTCCACCAAGTATAAACCCGCACCATGGGTCGACGACGAGCTTCGTAAACTGCTCTACCGCAGAAAACGAGCTCATAGACTCCTGCTGAAACAGCCGGGTGACCAGCAACGAATCCAGTTGTTCCGAGCGCTTCGGCGAGAGTGCAAAATCACCATGCGCCGAAAGAAAGCCAATTACTTTCAGGCCGAGTTTATTAACAACAGACGGAACCCTAGACGTCAGTGGAGCGCTATGAACAGCCTACTTGGCAGAACGAAAGTCAGCCGTGAGCCTGGAGCTAGTATTGCAGACATTACATCTATATTCTCAGAAATAGTTGGGCCTTTGCCGCCAACAGAGACTTCTGACGCCCTGACGCTGGCATCCGTGCCTGATCATCCATCCAACATTCCGCCTGCTCTGCCGTGTGGCCCCCAGTCAGACGGCACTCTAGTTTCTTTTACCCGAATCACAGCGGGGGATGTTAAGTTCCATCTCCGTGCTATGGACAGTCGCAAAGCAAGCGGTCCTGACGCCATCCCCCCGCTCGTCTACAAACTTGTGTCTGACCAAATTGCACCAACGCTAGCCTCTCTCTTGTCGATATCCCTTGAAACTGGTGAATTCCCAACGCCCTACAAGCTAGCACACGTCCGTCCGATCCACAAACGTGGGGACGTTTCCGACCCTCGCAACTACAGACCCATCTCCCTCCTTCCTCTCATGTCCAAACTTCTCGAGAGGTGTGCGCTAGAGCAACTTACGCAATACATGGATAGCGCCAGTCACATGGAATCCCTCCCTGCAGTTCAGTTTGCGTACCGCAAAAACCACTCCTGCGACGATCTTCTCGCTCTGGTGGCAAATGATTGGAGTCAAAGTCTAGACCAGAACGAGTATGTGGCTGCGGCTTTCCTCGACATGTCCAAAGCGTTCGACACTGTCAACCACAGTTTGCTCCTCCAAGAACTGTTCGAGATTGGTGTGGGAGGGGTTGCACTGCGTTGGTTTGCATCATACCTTACTGACCGCCAGCAGAGAGTTGTCACCAAGTCTAGCAGAGGTGCCTGTTATTCTGCCTCCAGAGGTGTACCTCAAGGATCTATCCTTGGACCTGTCTTGTTCAATCTTGCTGTCCGCAAACTGCCAGAGTGTGTTGCTAGTACCAAGGTCCGTCAGTTTGCTGACGATGTTTCTGTCTACAAATCCGGAAGGGATCCACAGAAGCTCACTGCAGACTTGGCCAGAGACGTTCTGTCAATCCGCAACTTCCTCCGGGACCACGGCCTTAAACTCAACGCGGAAAAGACACAGTTCATCATATTCCGCCCAAAGTCCAAGGCTGTCCCAGCTAATCTCCAATTGTCAATTGATAGCACTAGCATACCGCCTTCAGCCACAATAAAATACCTCGGCCTCCTGTTCGACGAGCATCTTACGTACCGAGATCACATCACGCTCCTGGAACGCAAGATAGGCACTAAACTTGCTGTGTTCAGGAAAATCAAACACAATCTAACACCTGCTGCCAAACGAGTCTTTTACTGTTCCTTCATTCAGGCCCAACTTGAATACGGCTCTAATGCATTTGCGCACAGCCTCCAAGTCTCGCAAATGGACCGCATTACTCGTATATCTAACCGTGCTGTTCGGATTGTCTTTGGCTACCCGAAGTACTACGATGCTTCTCTTGTTCTAGCTAGGAACTATCTCGCTGCTATTTCCCTTAGATATCAATTTCGCCTGTTTGTACTGGTGTTTCGAGCCCTCCATAAGCTATGCAGTCCACTGCTCTCGACCTGCTTCCTCCCTCGCACTGCCACTTCACAAACCTCAGCACATACACGCTCTCAGTCCACTTTGTCACTTAGTCTTCCTTTAGCTTCTCGCCGCTATGGTTTATACTCGCTTAGCTTTCTTGGTTCCGATCGTTGGAACGCGCTTCCTGCTGATATTCGCACAATCTCCTTGCTCAGAAACTTCCGTTCATCTATTCAACAATTCATAGGGTACCCTGTAAAAAGGCCCTAGGCCTGTGGGACTGCCCTATTCAAAATTTAATAATAATAATAAATAATAATAATCATGGGTGAACATCCTGAGCTGCTCACATGTGTGAGCTCCTGCTTTTTTTTTTTTTTTTTTTTTTTTTTTTGGCTGAATATTGGTCCGGCAGCTAGCTGCCGGACCTGCCGGACCGCCTGCTACGGCCCTGCGATACACTGTTCGCAGCTTAGCTAAGAGACCCCTGTGCCAAACAGTGTCGAAGGCCTTTGCAAGATCGAAGAAAACTAAACCAACATGGTTATGGGCGTTCCGGGCGGTGTGGATGTCTTGCACAAGACGAGTAACCTGGTACCTGGTGGAGTCACCCCAACAACTTACATTGTATGCCTACTGAATCTGTGCGTGAAACTCAGTCACAGCTCTTTCTCCCTCCTCTTGTTGTTGTAAGTAGCTGTGCCGTTGGACATCGGCCGAAGAGTCGCGACTCCACGGCCACGCTATGAACTCACAGTAGGGAGTTCAGTTCCGGTCACTGAAAAGCGAAAAGTGCAGTCACAGCTCGCCTGTACAAAGTGAATGGGCGCCTCGTGGCTGCAGTTCGAGATGCAGTTCGCGGTCCGAGTATCTTCTCCCGCGGCCTTTTCGGCCTTGTCGATGCTATTTTTAGGTAGCCGAGGTCATTACCTTTCCAATGGTGCCACACATGCCATGCTTCCAAAAATAATGCCTCCGCGCTTGGCGCGGGTGCACTTCGAAGTACTAATTTCGACCAGATCCGTACTCGGCTTCGCGGGGAACACCCGATTTTCGTGTTCAGCGGCCTCGAATTAGCCTAAACCAAGAGGATTCTACAACATTGAGGCTCGCGCTTTATCGCCGTAGAAGGAAAATGATCACAGAAACCAGCCCACGGCGATTTCCTGGTGGTAGACGAAAAAATCGAGTGAACTGCGCGCACACTGGTAAAAGCAGTGACGGTGAAAACGTGTGACTTGTGCAAGTCGGCGCGCACGGCATTCGTGCACACTGCATGCATGCACACATCCTGTGTCGCCATGTATGCACCAGATAGTGCAGTGCTGGACGGAAACCACACGGCTCCCATACATACTTGCATTTACTTCTGTGACTACTTTCTCCCCCGTTTTCCGATCTTCAATCGACTATATCTCTAGATTGCCTTGGAATTTTGGGTTCAAATTTTCACAGGTTGTTTCTCGATTCTTCCCGGTTTAGAAAAACTAGCGTTTTATGCAAAACTCGCGAATTTGATTTTTCAATTGAAGTCCCTACTCACAGCTTACACACGGTCTAGCCATCATCATCATCATCATCATCATCTGCGTTGCCGAAAAAATAATAATATTAATAGTAAAATAAAAATAATAAACGGCATTATGCAGCTGTGTAAGCAGTAGATGCACAATGTGACTGCCAGGCATCTCTGTCAGATGCCAATTGGCAATTCTCATGCAGAAACATACCAGTCCACGAAACGATATTGTCATCAAAGGAAATCTTCGGACGACCACGCTTTCTCTTACCATCCACGACACCAAACATCACGTCACGTACAAGCTCGCAGCCAGATGGGCGGCATGTGTGCCCGAAATAAGTCAGTTTGCGTATCTTGACCCTGGCTAGTACATGTAGCTGTCTCTGTACTCCCAACTCCACCCATGCTGAAGCTAAATTTAGCACAGCATGCCCGCCTGGGCAGCTTGCGGAAGCTTTCCGTTCCCTATTTAGCCCTCCGACACTATCATTATCAAGATGCTATGCTCTATGCCTATGGCTATGGACATAATGAAATCCCCATTGTTTTCGCATCCACTGTCTTTGCTTCACGCTGATTTCCTACTGCCTTATCCCCAACGTGGCGACTTCTGTACGGCTCAGTACATGCACTACGTAGTGTAGGACTACAGACTAGTACTAGTACAGTCATGACTGTAGTACCATTAATAGTATTATGAACTCGCCGTGCACCGACTCAGTAGATATAAAAATTATTATGGCATGGTAGGGAGAACACTGCATGCATGGCTGTATCGGGCGGCAGGGAATACTTCCAGTCCGTCTTGATAAGACTCTACTCCAGTCTCCAGGCTGCATTTCTGGATAGTCCTCCGTCGAATCTCCGGGCATGCTACAACGGTTACGTCATGTTTAGTAGGTACATGATTGTATACACGTACGAAATAGTGGTTGCGACTTCGGCGATGATTTTTTAGGAATGAGTTACTAGTAGTAGCTCCCACACTGGAGCTCACGCTATTCCGCCGACTTGACTTGACACTTGACTGACTCACGACTGCCATCCAGACAGAGCACACGAGAAGTCCATCGAACCTTCGACTCGGCACACCTGCAAGAAAGCACCACTCCCTGCTCAATACACAGTGTTGACAGCGTTCCTTTACGTCTGTTATCATTATTGTGTTGAGCCCTCTCCGCTGGCGGAAGGAAGTTTTCCTCCTTGTCTGTTCTAATTATTATAATAATTATATCACCGTCCAGGAGCGACACTGACTCGCGCTGCTATGATGGTGTTCACGAGGTGTTTGTCGCGCTGGAAACGCGAAGGACTAAAGGGACGCTGGTCTAGGAGTGCGGCAGTTTTTGCGCCATGGCAACGAGGAGTGCGCGCACGCGACTCCACAGCCACCAGCGCAAAGCGTTGTAGGCTGCGGAACGCCGGCAGGGAGAGCGAATGAGACACTTCGCCGTGACCCAGGTAGTAGTTCGTACAGTGCAGCACGAGTACTTGCAGTAGACTCTATTTTTTTCGCGCATATTTTTCTGGAGAAAGCGAAAAACATAGGAAAGCGATGCTTGCTGAATGAACAAGACGATGGATTAGTTCCTGAAAGTCACTCTACTTGGATTGATAATGATTTTGTTGAGGAGCGGTTTGAATTCGTTACGACACGACAGCCTGACGCCAGCCTGACTTCTGGCTTGCAGTAGAGCTCTCCTTCCGATCCTGTCAATGGTCTCAGATTTGAAAGAAAAATACTCGAACAGTGATATCTATACATCGCTTGTGGAAGGAATGGGCGAGTGCTGGCAATCACTCAGTCTTCGCAAGTAGAGAATGTCCCTGCTGATTACCAGCTGAGAGACAGCTATTCTGTGCTGTGAAACGAAGGGACGATTCTTGAAGTGGAAGAACAATCGTACATGTACTAGATGTGCTGATCTACTTGTATGCAATGTCACCCACAGTGTGTACAAACCTGTAGGCTAAAGCCGGTGTTACACTGGGGTTTTCTGGATCTTCAAAGCACCAGAAGTAGTATGTGTACTATTGAAAGCGCCCATTCCGTCTTGGAGGTGTGCATCACATTGACATTGTGCATGCGGTCTTTTACTAGTACATGTGTTTGGTCAGAGTCTCATCTCTGTGTGTGTCTGTCTCTCTGTTTGCTTGTGTGTCGGTGTGTGTGTGTGCGCGTGCGCGCGCATATGTGCTTATGTGTCTTCATGTGTGAGCAGTGTGTACTTTGAATGTGCCGTGCACAACTGTTTTGTGTGTGTATGAGCTTGCAATTGCCTTGCATGCGCTTTGAACATGTGTTCATGTACGTGCTCCGCAGGACTTGTGATTTTGCCTGACCTTTGAAACCAATTGGACTGCCTGCCCTGGCAAGGGACTCTTATTGCCTAGCTTCTTGTTATGGCGGCATCAACAGTAGCACGTAACGCCACCTGACCTGTCGTTGCTTCACAGCTGCTGCTTTCTCACTCCCGCTGTATCAGTTCGGCGTATTGCCCAGCTGCACCGTGTAGCCGTGTTGTGAAACAGCATACCGGTGCTCCCTGCTCAGTAGCTGTTGTCAGTACCAGGAACTTGGTGAGTGTAGCGGACACAGGTAGTGGCGAGTACACTGCGTCGCTGGTGACACACCGTCACTGGAAATGCCCCGCGTCACGCAGTGCAGCGCGTCACTATTCCGCTCCACCACGTGTCACAAACGCAGCGTTGCAAGGGCTGCTAGCGCAAGTGCAGCGTCTCCAGCATGCTAGCAGGAACAGCGCAGCAACAGTGGCGGAGCACTGAGCCCGGAGCAGAGGTCCCGATTGGCTTCCGCTTGTCATATGCTGTGCGCTGCGATCGGGTCGTTGCTCAGCACCATCCCTTACTTGCTGCAGCAATGTTCCCGCTACAATACTTACCCGGGTGTAGCCAGCAACGGACTGCGATCTAGTGTATCCATATTCTCCACGTGTACATTGGTGCTTGATGACATCATCAAGTCACTGCTTACCTCATCGAATACTAGGAGAGATTTCGCACAGGCTGTGTCAGCACTTGAAGAACATTCAGAGCTGCTCAGGGATCACGCGCAGCTTTTTAAAGTCATTTACGCTGTCGTGCAAGTGGACAAGACTGGCGACCTGATCGTTGATCATACTCAGTTTCCGGACGACTTTCTGGACACTGCTGAGAGTATGGAGCGGAGAAGCTTCTATGGACGGTGCCTCGGCCTTCATGTAAGTCACTGTGAGAAGTAAGGTGACATTTGTATGTGTGCTCCGCGACCGTAGAGTACAATAGCTGTCCGTGGTCTTTTAAATATTCCTACCCGGTCCCCCTTTGGTGCGTCCATGGAGATATAAAGCCGAGACCTCTGGTCGGCTGAGCTTAATGGGCCCCACCACCACATGCACACTCCATTATTCGCCCCATTGTCTGGAGATAATGTGGATTTTGTAGAGAGAAAAAAGAAGAAAAAAACATCCGAGTTTCAAAACAAACAAACAAAAGTTTCAGCATGCCATGTGCGATTGACGTTGACGATTTGTTCTGTACCATGCTCAACACTCTCTTTTTGCTGCAGAGTGCCAGCTCTGAGCCTTCTAAGGCAGTCATCATTCACTTCCATGGTGGAGGGTTTCTGGCGCAAACGTCACAGTTACATGTGGTAGGTCATTGGAAACAAATGGGTGTGCTTTGCTGCCATGCTCCATCCATTTCTCCGCTGCCCTAGCCAATAAAAAGATACTGTGTCATGTGTGTAACACGGATGTGCACCAGGTTTTCATTTGGCCCCATATACAATAGTACAGTATTGCTCCATGACATCCAGTCGCGTCACTCAAGTACGTGCCGGGCGTTGCGCAGCCCTAGACCTGCGAACACTGGGCTGCGAAATGGTGCACGGCGCAAACTTGACTCACGCGACCGAATTTCATTGAGCAGCACTGTACATAATATTAGTATACCCTATGCATGTGTCTTCCTTGTGGTGTATTGTTCATGCAGAGCTATCTAAGCCACTGGGCCAACCAGCTCAACGTTCCCGTGGCGTCCGTTGACTACATGACGGCCCCCGAGCACCCGTACCCACGTGCCGTCAACGACTGTTTCTACGCGTACGCCTGGGTGCTGAGGAACGCCACCAGCCTGGGTACCACTGCCGAGAAAGTCATCCTGGCCGGCGACTCGGCTGGAGGTAACTTTGTCTTCGGAGTGGCATTCCTCGCTGCGCAGTACCAGCTTCGGAAGCCGTGTCTGGTTCTGGGCGCGTACCCTGCTCTGAAAATCTCACTGGATCTGTCACCGGCACGCTGCCTAAGCGTAATGGATCCGCTGTTACCCATTGGAACGCTGCGGGCATGTTTGAATGCGTACCGGGGGAGTGGCAGGTGAGATACCAGTTCTTCTTTTCCTTGGAAATTTCACTGTACAGTGCATTCCTGGGATTAGCACATTAGAATTGGCAAACGTGTTCATCTTTGGATAGTGACAGCTGATAAGAGGTGCATAGACTGTCACTCCAAGTAAAAATTCCTTCGGTGCAAATAGGATTGCCCATTTCACAATATATACCCTTACCTTGTAATGTGAACAGTCGGCGTGGAGACAGTAACTTTTAAAACTATAGCTAACGTGGTTGCGGTATTGGTGTGTGACAAGCGAGGTGGCATGAAATAAAAGTTAGGCTTCAACATTAAATACCCAGGGTCTAACACCCTTTTCTCCTTTCATCGGGTGTGGAGTGCTGTTTCGACGACCCTGCGTATCCTTTCCCAGACCTCATGTGTGAAGTACCTCACCTGTGAATCATTGAGGTGGATGTCCCCTACTGGCCCTAGAGGTACGCTCAGGGAGTACGTAAATACCGGTGTTTTTCTACTCCCTGATACGTTCTACTGAAGTTTGACTGTATGCGACGTAGTGACAATGATAGGCGTTACATTACTTTGTCCACGCCAACGTAGGCACCTTCTCTGGGAGGTTGCTCAGTTCACCCAATGTGAGAGCTGTTCGCACAATATGGGACGGAATTGGCTGTAGGCTGCAGTCTCCCTCTGCGTGCGTGTGTGTGTGTGTTTGTGTGTCCACGTGTACTACGGTGAAACTACACCAAGTCACGTTCTTAGCACATCGACAATCAACTTTCACACTTCATGTCTTGTGCTTATGCAATGTGAAAGAACCTACAGTGCTGCTCAATGAAATCCAGTCGAGTCACTCACGTACGTACTGGGTGTTGCACTAGACCTGCGAACATTGGGCTGCGAAATGGTGCAAGGCGCAAACTTGACTCACGCGACCGGAATTCATTGAGCAGCACTGTACTTTAAAGTGCTTTGCTGTGACTTTGTCACTTTCTGGTTAGCTGTGATTTTGTCACTTTCTGGGTAGCTGTGTATGCTGTGCACAACCGGATTTCATTGAGCAGCATTGTATGGTTTTGTCACTTTCTGGGTAGCTGTGTGCACATCACCTCAAGCTTTGATTTTCATCACCTCGAGCTTTGATTTTCATCACCTGGAATTGAAACAAAACTGCGTCGCTTCCTTTGTCTTGCTTTCTTTATCTGATGCAACGTTGGTGATGGATGAGGACAGAGAGCTCTGTGACTAGAGGCAGGTGTTTGGTGGACGTGGACCGTGTGACTTGCCTTTGCCCTTGCTATAGTCTCCTTAAAGTCATCGGAATCCACTCTCTCAGTCTCTCTGTGCTCGCACTGCTAGGCTATGCTGTGGATGCACTCCGCAACGCTGATTGCTCCGTGAGTACCAGTTCATGGTGTTCTTCTCTTGTCCTGTCCAGCACGCCAGAGTATCACCCGAACACCGGTCACCTGTCACAGCTGCAGTCGGGCATCCACCACTGTCATGCCACCATTCTGAATGCTTCGCCGGCTTACCTCTCTCCACTGCTGGCCAGTGATGAGATGCTGCACAGCTTACCATCGGTTGCATTGCTGGTAAGCCACTATAGCACACATGGCAGTACGGTATGAGCTATGCATTCACATACCAGTAGCTGAGGAGTGCTAATTCCGTACTTATAGTATTGACAAGCTAGCCTATTGATCAGGAACTGTCCGCAAATACACCCCTGTCCAAAACTCTTTCGAGAAGGAACCTTTCCGATGCCCCGGAAAACCCAAGCACTGCTATACCACACGTAGGTGTGTGAATTGTGACTAGATGCAATAGTCATGTACATGTAACTAAGTTAGGCAACCTTACAACATGTGCAATGTTGGAAGTGTGTTTCACCAAAAAGGAGACCAAGAGTAGAGAGTCTTCTGTGTAGTCTCTACATGTGACATGATGAGCATGTAAACAACCTAATTCTGAAGTACATGCACATGTACAGTAGGAGGAAGAAGCTTGCTTGGCTGCTGAGTTGCTTGGTTGCTGTTTGGTCTGGAGCTGACTGGGGCTGCTGTTATATCTTCAGTTTGGCTGAGTTGGCAGTGTCCTGCCATTGGATGAAGTCCTGGTCCAGGTCTCGTCTAATCCTTAGCGCTAGGGCTGGGTTGTGCGTTGCGTCTAGCTGTATTACCTACATCGCTACATCGCTGCTTCACGAGCTGGATCACGCGCTGGAGTGGAGTGCTCGCGCCTCTGTTCACACTGGTGGTTTGTCTTCACGACGCTATTTTCGCGACTTGCTGCGGCCGTGTCTGCGGTAGTCTGGTGCAAAATGAACCTGGGTGACGTTGTAGACTTAGCCATTCTCACTTTCGAGGAACTGCGAGGTTTAGCTCGGCGGCATAGCATTGATGGCCTGGACAGTATGGCTCGCGCGGAGGTGGTCGGGAAACTTCGCGAGGCTGGTGTGGGTGTGTTACACCCATCAGCTGCTGGAGTCGTTGAGCGCTTGGGTGAGATGATGCAGATTGTCGTTGGCATCAGTGACGAGTTGGCAGCGCTGAGAGACGGCCAGGGGCGGGAGATCACGGCTGCAGAGGAGAAGGGTATCCCCTTACTAGAGGTTGAAGCGATTGTGAAGCGGGAACTGGCATCTCTCTCTGACAGAGTAGGCGACTTGGAGAGGGCCAGCGGCGGGAAACAGCACAAGCATGCCCGGCCGCAGGTGACTGCTCCACTGGCGAGCTATTCGAAGATTGGAAGAGCACAAAGAGACCTACATGCCACATCCCCAGGTGAAGGATCAATGCTTCAAGACGTTGCCAGGAATGAACCCAAGGAGTTGTATTCACAGGCCATATCTAGAGATGCTGCCCCAATCGACCTTCCAATGGACATATCGGTTGATCAGGCGCCCTTCGAGGATGTCATGTCCAGGAAAGAGCGTCGACGCTTCAAGAGGCGGCTAGCATCAGAACCTTCCGGGACGGAGAAGGCTACAAGTCCTGCAGAACGGCAGACTGACAGTCGCAAAACGCAGACAAATCCCATCCGCCGCCACGAGTCTTCACGTTACATCCGGGAACGTACGTCCGATAGCAACCCGACACCTTCGTTAGACACCGTCCCCAGAGGCCCGCGGAAAGTTCTCTACCTGGGGCAAATCCCGTATGGTTGCCAGGCACAGTCCATCGCTGAATGGTGCAGAGATCGGGACGTGGAGATAGTGCAATGTATTATATACTCTTCTGAATACTTCAGAACGGCCTCCGCGAGAATAACAGTTGACGCTGAGGACGTGAACAAAGTTAGTGAAAAGTCTTTCTGGCCTGAAACAGTTGCATACACTCTCCGTGACTGGCGCTTCAGGTCCGACCAAGCAGAGGCGCAATGAACACCTCGATACTGAATGCGCAGGCTCCAACTTTCTTTCCGGGTAGATTGCGCCATCCGAAAGCACCTTTCAGAGACAGGGGAGGACTGAGTGGCGACGCTAAGCTGAAAGTTCTACTGATAAACATCAGGAGCCTTCGAAACAAGATTAATGACCTAGCACAACTCACCCGCCAGCATTGTCCTGATATTGTCTGTGTGAACGAGACATGGCTGGATAGTACCATTACTGATGGAGAAATCACGTTGGCAGGTTACAATGTTTTGCGTGCTGATCGAGAGGATCAAGTTGGTGGAGGTGTCTGCTTATATTCCCGAACATCCTTGCCTCTCCAGCCGAGATGCGATATAGCTGCTGCTGGGGTTGAGAGTTGTTGGGGCGAGATTCCCTGTACTGGTGGGAGTTGCTTGATAGGCACAATCTATCGTCCTCCCTCTGAACCTATTGGCTACTGGGATCGCCTTGATGGTCTTCTACACTCAGCTATCACTCCGGGCAGGAACGTTATACTGTGCGGTGACTTAAATGTGAATGTGGATCCATCAACGGCTCCAGATCATCAGCTCCATTTCCTGTCTGATCTAACGGCAAGCTACAGTCTCCACCAGGGCGTTCATCAGCGGACACGGTTTGCATCTAATTCCACACCCACCACATTGGATCTGTTCTTCAATACGTTTGACCAGCACAATGTGGCAACGATCCATCCCGTGGCTTTCAGCGACCATGCAGCGGTCATAAGTGAATTCTACCTTGACCCGACAAGGAGTCCCGAGACATCAATGTTGTGCCGGAACTACCGAAGGATCAATCATGAACGCTTCAAAGCTGACTTGATTCAGCAGAATTTTTGCAGCATCGAAGGCAGCCCAACAGACATGTGGACGGAGTGGAATAGTCGCTTCCTGCAGGTGCTTGACACTCATGCCCCTCTTGGATCTTGTAAGCAGCACAAGCGACAATCGGTACCGTGGATGGACAGCCAGCTCTTGCACCTTTTGAGTAAGCGCAACCGGCTTCACAGAAAGTGGCTGTCAGACAGATCTGAGCAAAGGTACGCCACATTCAAAGCGGCGAGAAGGGAGGCCACTACCTGTAACCGGAAGCTGAAAGAAGCGTACTACAGTACAAAATTTCAGCTTGCGACTTGTGATGTAAAACAAACCTGGCGAATCATCAACCAGTTGACGGGGAAACAAAGAAAATCGGCACCGCTTCAGTGCTCAGCTGAGGCAATTCGAAGTGCTTTCGCCAAGATCGTGGAAGATCCAAGCCGCCCAGTTCATCTTCACCTACCCCAAGGGCCACGAACGGCAACTAGTTTTGTGGAATTTGTTCCTGTATCTATTGCAAAAGTCCGGAAGCTTCTAGAGCAACAGAATCCGACGAAGGCAACTGGCAGTGACGGCATCCCTGCAGCCCTTCTTCGAGCTCATGCAGATGTTCTTGCGCCGTCATTGGCCTTACTGTTCAACAAATCCATGAGGGAGGGACATTTCCCAGCTCCTATGAAGGTGGCCAGCATTTCACCTCTGTTTAAAGGTGGTGATCCCAGCATAGCAAAGAATCACAGACCCGTGTCTCTAATGTCGATAGTTTCAAAGCTTTTGGAGCGAGTCATCCATGATCAGCTCACTCAGTACTTGTGCCGACATGATCTATTTCCACCAACTCAGTTCGGCTATCGTTCACATCATTCCACATGTGATGCCCTTGTATTAGCCGTTGAGGGCATATGCCAAGCCCAGACAAAAAAGTACTTCACGGGGATTGCTTTCGTAGATATGTCAAAAGCATTTGATAAGGTGAAGCACCAAACCCTTATTCAGGACCTATTCGAGGTTGGAATTGGTGGAACGGTGCTGCAATGGCTTGCAGACTACCTCTCAGATCGGACACAGTATGTCAAAGTCGGTCAGGTACAGAGCTCACCATACACCAGCTTCTCCGGAGTACCACAGGGGTCAGTTCTCGGGCCCCTGTTGTTTGTTCTCTACGTCCGTGACATTGCGAAAGAGCTGTCCCCTTACAACGTTGCGACCCTGCAGTTTGCGGACGATATCTCAATTAGATCCAGCGGCATGAGCACGGATGAGGTGTCCCAAAATCTCTCAAGTGCTGTCCAGCACCTCGCCGATTGGCTTAGGAACCGCGGTCTCATCTTGAATGAAACGAAGACACAGATCATGTCGATATCGCCAGTACGATCTCAAACATTTGACTTGCAAGTGCAATGTAATGGACTGCCTCTGCCAACTGTTCGCTCTGCGAAATATTTAGGTCTCCACTTTGATGCGGACATGAGCTGGAACACCATGGTCGACCACGTCGCACGGGGCGTCGCGTCGAAAGTTGGCGTGCTCAGACGATACGCTACGTTCCTGCCTTTTCAATGTCGCATAGCCTATTTTCGTTCTTTCATTTTATCACACTTTATGTATGCCGCTTCTGCTTACTTACCATTTCTCACGGCGTATCAAAGTAGACGGCTTAATGGGCTCTTCAAGCGTGCTGTACGCACAGTCTGTCGGGTACCTCCCGGGACACCCACAAGCAATATTCTTACGCGCATGAACATCCAAACATTGACCACATACGCCAACATGCACCTTCTGGTTTTTATCTGGCGTTGTCTCCATGACTCCTCTAACATCAGCATGTTGTTCGCTAACTTTTTCAGCCGCAGTAATTCCACTCAAACTCGTGGTGGGCACAGTAATTTACTGATTGTCCCAGCCAGCCCAACTGCATATCTTGCCAAACGTGTTACCTATGCTGGGACCATCTTATGGAACCAGCTCCCCGCTGCGGTCAGGCAAGAAAGAAAACGCAATCGCTTTAAGTCAATGGCTCTTGCCTTTTTGCTTACCAGATAAATAAGCCTTTTTACAAATGCTGTATGCACTGCTCTTTACGTTATTTTCTCCCTATGCAAGTCGCAACTCCTGTTTTGAGTTGTTTTTCTTCTCTCTTTTTCTTTCCCTACTAGTTGCTGTTACACTCACTGATACTTATGCACAGATATACAGCATTCCCTCACTAGTGGGACCATTGTTATTAGGCTAGGGCCTGTTTTGGACTTCCCACTCTAAATAAAGTTTACAAACAAACAAACAAACAACAATGTACGTACTTCACAGGATCTTTTGGAGCCACAGAGTCAGAGGTCAGCAATGTTGTGACAGGCCGTGCCCTGTAGCTCTGGGTCTGGGTGTGATGTACAGTCAGACCTCGCTTATCCGGATCCCTCGCGACCCGGAAGAAAATAGCTGGCTACAGATTTACAGCATACGTGATGCATCCAATGTAACCGGTGTTCGGTTATCCAGTTCCCTCGCCTATCCGGATATTTTTGTGGAAAACGGATGTGTGCGGTTAAGCGAGGTCTGACTGTACTGTTAGCATTTTCAAGCCTTACTGATCAATGCAAGGAGCAGTCTGTGTGTAATGAGTAGCTATGTATGGAGCAGCTAGTCTGTGTGTAATGAGTAGCTGGCCATGTGAGTTCCATAGAAAATCGATTGTGCCTGAGACATGTTGCGTGTCTGGGAAGGGGTGTTAATAGAGAGGTTAAGCTTTACGTGACACGAAAGTTCAGCTCGCGTGTTGGAAAACAACGCGAGTGACCTGCAGCTCGCGTCGAAATTTGAAGGTTTACGCCTAATTTGACGTGATATTGCACATCACGTCAGAAATAACGTGCAGCTTAACCTCTCTCTAATAGTCAGTCATGTGAAGTGTGTACAGAGCACCTTGGTAAGCACATATAGATCATCGCAGTCAGCCGCTTGGCGCAGCAAGCCACCAACGTGTGCATTGAGTTGATGGACGCAGCAATCAAGCAACACGACCAAGATGTTTAGTCGTGATACAAGTAGTGCCTATTGCAGTACGAGATGTCACCACTCATGCGTTCTCAGTGCAGCACCGGACATTTGCCCATTGGCACTCATTTTACGAGTATTGAACTATTTTTTTAAATACTTAAGTAAGGTCCATAATTAGTTTTATTTCCGTAGCTATGCAGAAGACGTTACTGAAGACGTTACTTCAGTAACGTCTGGCGCTAGCCAGGGTCCACACAGCTTTAATTTGGTGTTTGTGTCACGCCTGGCGCTATCCCGTATCTGTCCCGAACCGTACCATCAAACACAGCTGGCCACATACAGCTGGCCGCAATATTCGAATAGGGCTTTCAAACGCAAGATCATAACGTGAAGCAACTTGGAAGAATGAGTATGAATGCGGAGTGTATGGGGGAATGCATGCAGGGCGACAGTGCGGGTTCGAATCCCAGGTAATGCCCGAAAAAATAGGAGAAAAATTTATAACATCCCTTTTCTTTTTTTTGCCGTCATCAAGGCGGTAGACGGTGTCGTATTACCCTCGACCGTACCTATCCTGACCGTACCGTACAATCAAAAACGGCTGGCCACAATGCATATTCAAATAGGGCTTTCAAATACAAGATCATAACGTGAAGCAACTTGGAAGAATTAGTATGTATGCGAAGTGTATCGGGGGATGCATGCAGGGCGATAGTGCGGGTTCGAATCCCAGGTTTAATATGTCTAAAAACAAAAAAAGTAGAAACTTATAAGAATTTATAACATCCCTATGCTTTTTTTTGTCTAGGTCATCAAGGCAAAAAAGCATAGCGTAGGGCCCTGGGCTTCCAAGCTCTCTCGTTACCAAGCATCAAGTTGAAGTGGTTTGGACATGTTGCAAGGCATCAGGATAGCTACTCCCACTATTTCTTGGATGGAATAGTGCCTGGTTCTTGGCTGCATGTAGTCTAGCCTATTTTGCACTAGCGTGACCCATGCTACCGGCATACCGACAGCTCCTAAACAAAAAATAATGCGGTGCCCACGTTATTGTTGATATAAATATGACTGTGGCTAGTAGGGTAGTGATCAACACAGTAAAGAAATATACACCAGTTCTATGTGCGATAGTGCAGATCTGATACTTGCTGGATATAACATTGGAGGTTAGCGTCAATATGCACTTGGAACACTAGGGACAGGCCAGCCGTCTAGATGACTACATTATCATACTCCCATCAGAGGGTGTACATGATTTAAACATACACACATAAAACGAGGCACTCAACTGTGAATGTACAAAGAGCCATGCGAACACGTAGTCTATGTCTTTTTCTTAGCCTTGGCGCGGGGCACCTTCGTGTCCGCGGATGCCCATGCCTTGAGGGCACACAGCTTCTTGCCCAGGTCAGTCAAGTCGACACCAGCTAGTTCAACCTACAAGTACACCGTGTAAACACAGAGATAACACTGTGTTACATGTGTGTATCAAGACTCGCTGACTGAAGACTCACGAATCATGCATGCTCATATCACACGTGCGCATGCGAGACAGGAGACAGTTTGGGGAATGTCATCACACAGGAAAACAATACTAGCACATCATTACACCACTGGCACTATGATAGGCATGTGACGTCACCCGGATGATGTGGATACATGAATGCAAGGGAATCCGGCATGTGAATACAAGAACACAGACAACAGCACAATAAGCACACAGCTACAGGAAACAACGCGAGGGGCAGTACCCAGAGCACACACAGGGAAGCAAACAATCACATGATCCGCTAGGCAGCAGCAGGACAACAAAACAGCCTAAGGACTACGAGATCTCGTATACTTAGCAGCAGGACAGACACATCCATTACTGGTCACATCAGCCGGCGGAGCACCCGCAACATACCTTGTCCTTGATAAGCTGTCCACGATTCTTAGCTCGTTCTGAGTGGAGGTTGATGGATGGGAACATCTTTACAAATTGAACATACCTGCAGAGGACATTGTAGGTCCACAAGAACTTGTCATAACACGAACCCACACATAGCCTAGAGGGATGATCCTTTCCCACCAACGACTACTATTCAAGACTTCAAGTACCATAGTACAATACATGTCAGTAGCCTATAGCGATAAGCAGCCCATAATTAAGTTCTCCGTATTCCAGGAGGGTCTAGATGCTGCTAGATATCCGGAGAGCATCATCTACTCATGTACCGTAGAGCAGAGCTTTATCATAGATATCAGTCTGGTTGGTGAGAACTGAGTAGGCGGGAAAGCACCTAGTACAAACCACTGCATCAAACTTTAAAACAAATACGGACACACACACACGAGCGCACACTCATACACACACGCACACGAATACTCATATACGTAGCAGTGTTCTGACGTACCTTGCTCGCGTGCTGTTGTTGGGCCGACTGCCGTGCGCCACACGCTGGTCCCAGATGAGTAAGCTGCCAGCACGCATGGGTACTCTCTGGGGCTGTTTGTACATGGGATCATGGCCATGCACAGGTATAAAGTTCTACAAAGAGAACACAGAGATCACAGGTAACAACCAACCATTTGAATGGTAAAGTAGTCGTTGTTGATGAAATCCAGCCAAATAAAACATCAGTACCCCGCAGCAGTACACAGACAACTGTCCCTGTGGGCAACAACTGTATGGTCCTGACCCTAGTTGAGCATGATACGGCTGGATTTTGCTGGACATGGCAGTAGTTTTAAAAAGCAGCACAGTCCTGGAGAAGGTTGCAGGAGAAAACAAGTAGCTGAAGAGAGAGTTTTTTTTTGCAGATTTAGATTTATATTGCTCCAGGAATGGTCAAGGGTGAACAAGGGTCTTGTCAACTGCACAAAGGTGTTGTTTGTTGCTCGGACCGCGGTCACGTTCTCAGTACTGAATATCACACCAGCCTTGTCGCGCTATACATTGTGCCGTGGTGGTCACAGGTGAACGCGTTGGAGTGTCGCTTCTCAACAGAGCCTACAAAACAAAGTCATGGCGAGTGTGCCGTTATCACCGTTTGCATGAAGCCTCAGATGTCCAGGAGTGATTCTTAGTTTCTTACCTTGCCCTTGGCTCAGCTCCAAGTTTTCCTGTTTCTGTAGTTACGTCATGACCAGTATGGCACTCAGCTGTGGGGTAGCTAAGGATGAACCTAGTAGGGTGCAGAAAAAAAACACATATACATCATACATTAAAAATCCGGTTTGCATCAGCTGTGGATTTTTCAACTCCCATCCTCCCAGTCCCTGCAGAGAAACGAACGGAACTTTGGTATAATTAGTCTGATGTGATATTGAGTCGCGTGATATTGCAAGATAACACACAAAATGTAACACATTGAGTGCCAGATTAGATAACATTCATATCACTTATGTAACATGGACAAATGTGGGCACAAGTTATGCGATTGAGTCTACCAACTAAGCCAGATTTTGAAGAGTCGGACGTGCACAATCCAGCACAAAACTGACAAGGAGCACGGAGACATTCCACGGCATGAAAGTGCCTTGTGCCCACATTTTTCCATGTTACAATTTTTTCTTGGCTCACCGTCTGAGTTCCAATCTCTTATGTGTTGAGTTATAGTATTCTTGAATTGTGTTCAGTTTATCATCATTATAATAAGGTCGAGCATTGAAACGATTGTTTTCAGAATCAGAATATTCTTTGAAATGCTGATAAGTAGTTGATACATGTGGATAACACAAGTGGTTATTTGTAGAGGTTATTCTTCTGGCAACTTTTTATTTCGCCATTTGTTTGGATGATGAACCTACCGCTCGCACAGACTGAGCTCACACAACTTCTCAGCTTCAAGGGCAGTCGTAACTGACTTCTTCAGTTTCTCCAGCTGGGTGTTGTGTCCTCCACCTTGTTTCATGCTGTCAAACTAACAACATGTATGAACTATAACAAGGTTTATCTAATACTAGTATTGTACTAGTATTGGGTTTGTACAGTCTATATCCAGCCCACTGATAATGGTGCAGAGCCACTCCGTTTTATGTGTCTATCAGCACTGCTTGTTGTACTGTTGTGCATTATCATACTACTACGCATTCGTTCCTCATGTTGTATTCACGTCTGATGCGCGTAGTCGCGTACACTGCTTTCATTCCTCATGTTGTATTCACGTCTGGATGCGCGTAGTCGCGTACACTGCTTTCACTTCTCATGTTGTATTCACGTCTGATGCGCGTAGTCGCGTACACTGCTTTCGCGCAATCTTTTGATTTGAATGTTTCTTGAATCTCCGCTTCTGCTTCGAGAGAGGCAGAACTTTCCTTTGTACTGCAAGATGATTTCGATCAGAGTCAGAGTAAAACATTATAATACAGTCTTCTAAAACAACGAGTCGTGTGCTATCCGGAGGCATGTTCGAGTAAGAACAGGGTTATATAATAGTACTTATCTGTATCAGAGGGTCCCGGGCATCATACAGGCGTAGGAATAGGGCCTTTGTAAATAGCTGCCGTTCTTTGCCAGTACGGTAATGTTTCTGTGGGCTCTTTTACCTAGGGTTTTTGTCTCTTTTTTGTGTTCCAATTGATTTTTACTTTATATTTTTGTGTTTAATACTAACATTCATGCATTTTTATGACTTGGGGCTCCCCGCGTGCTAGAGTGTACGTGAAGTGTGTGGGTACAGTGAGGGCTGCGTCCCACCCGCCTGCGTGGATTCACAGGAAGTGTAAGTTACGAAGTCTGAAGAAAATGTTGAACAGTCTCTGCTGGGATGACGACTACACCATAGCTCAGTGGTTAGAGCATCGCTGGCTTCAAGCGAAGGTCCCTGGTTCGAGTCCAGGTGGTGACAGTCATTTTTGTTCAGACTTTTCCTGTTTGTCTCTTTCCCTCAAACTAGTGAAGATTCATGCATTTAAATTGATTTTTGTACTTCAAAGTAGTTTACTGAATTTGAATTTGTTTGATGATATGTGCAATTCATTTTTCCCGCACAAGAGGCTTTACTAGTACTTACCTGCGGAGGCATTGGTTGTGAGAGTTACCACCCCACCCTCGCAGTTTGGCGCTGCATCCCCTCTGAGATGAACGGCTGCTGAAAATGTTATTGCGTCTGCGTTGTTGTGACTGCTTTTGCTACGCTGCCTGCTCTTCTTGGCATTGCTGCTGCTACGAGTACGAGTTCGTACTGCAGTCTTCTGTCTTGGCAATTACTGCACTAATAAAATAATATTGAAGTAATACGCGGAAAACGAAAACGAAAGGACGAACGAAGAAGATTGCTGACCATGACGAACAACAGTGCATATCCAGACGACAGACGGCTTGCCAGAATCAGTCTGGTGCATCTTCAGGAATCCTAATCGCATTCAGCAGTCAGCTTCGAGGTCAAGTTTCAGAAGGAATAATTTTAATTTTTTTTTAAAATTTTGGAGAAGAAGCTTCCTTTCTAAAAAAAAGCGTTCCTTGCTGTCAAGCAAGGTGCCTACACAATGTGTAGGGCTCCCTGGTCGGGAGTACTAACAGCTGCTCGCATCCCATGGTGCTCAGTTTCGCTCTATCCGATCGAGTAACTTTTTACCTCAAGACCAGGGAGCCCTACACATACCGGTATGTGTAGGGCTCCCTGGTCAAGACTGCACTCGTACTGGGTCACGGCCAAGTGTCTCACTCGCTGTCCCGCCGCAAGTCTGCAGCGCTTTGCGCTGGTGGCTCTCGCGTGCGCGCACTCCTCGTTGCCATGGCGCGCAAAAACTGCCGCACTCCTAGACCAGCGTCCCTTTAGTCCTTCGCGCTGGAAACGGAGCGTCTCTGTAAGTTGCGAAGGACTAAAGGGACCGTCACTTAATTTTTGCCGACTACCCGCCAAAAAAATCTTTTCGTTTCACGTGCCAGACACGTCCGCGAGCGCGTACGACTCGCGCTCGCCCGCGCTATAGCGCTACCTTTCACGTCAAGCAATCTGTTCACGCCACATGGCTTGATTGGATAGCGCGTACATGCAGACATGATTGAAGACTTGCAAAATCAATTTTTTTACAAGTCCAGGCGCTAGGCGCTAGGCCTAGGCAGTACTCACGGTACTAATGCCAAAGGCTAAAATGCCCAGGCAGCTGACTTTATTTTCGGAGAAACACTACTCATTGTAGTAAAAAGTAACAATGAATAGCGACATCATCTAGGAAGGATCGCTACCTTAACGCAAAGGAAAGGCCTTGCGCGGCTGCTCTACGAAGTGTTGAAGAAAGACTCATCAAAGTTAGTTGGTGGACGAACAACTCGCTGGCGCCGGAAAACTTGGCCCCCAACGATGGTGTTTGGTGAATCATCAAGCATAATGTCTTGTAGCAGTGTTCACCGAGGAAGGAGAACGCTCTAGCCGCTGCTGTTGTCCATTTCATCCACGTTGGGCGTTAGCTGCACCGCGCCTATTGTGTTTTAGTATTCCATGGACACACATTAGCATTCAGAGCGATTGTGGAGCCACAATTTACTTCACACAGCGTTGTATTGTCCACGAGCGCAAACTTCATTATCAGCAGTAACTGTTACTCTTCATCCTACATGTAGATTTGGAGTATACACGGCCTTGTCATGACAGCGACAGCTCTACAGAGTGTTCAAGTGAGAAACATTAATTTCAATTGTTGGTGGACGAATAAATGGCTGGTTCCGAAAAACGCGGCCTGCACCGATGGTGTTTGGTGGATCATCAAACAGGGTGACCAGCAGTGTTCACCGAGGAAGGAGAATGCACTCGCCACCACTCCGATTCATCCAAGTGGGCGTTAGCTGCGCCGCGCCTATTGTGTTTTAGTATTTCATGGACGCACACTAGCGTTCTCAGCGATTGTGGAGCCACAACATATCTTCATGCGGCGTTGCACTGTCCAAGAGCAGAAACGTCAGCAGTGACCCATCATCATACATGTAGATTTGGAGTATACACACCATGCGCCAACGGGCCTTGGCACAACAGCGGCAGCTCTACGGAGTGTTCAAGTGAGAAACATTTGTTTCGAATTTTGGTGGACGAACAAATCGGTGGTGCCGAAAAACGTGGCCTGCGCCGATGGTGTTTGAACCATCGAGGGCTCCGGAAGCAGCAGCTGAGCCAGATCAGCCAGTCTTGCCAACTCTCAGTTGCCGGACTCCGTGCTGCAGCTAGCAGCACTGGCACCAGCCGGAAATATTTTTCCGCCGATACCCGTTACTTCCAGTTCTGTCAAGGGCATGACTGGAATCCATTGCCAGGTGATGACTTTTTACTTTATGTGTTATTTTGCTGCCGAGTTGTTCAGAACTTTTCAGCCCCGATCTGTCCATGTCTACATGTCGGCCATCCGCAAACTTCAGGTGGAAGTTGGCTTTACCTACCCGTCGGGCCCAATGACTCTCCTCGCAAGGTTCCTGTCGGGCATCAACAGGTCATCATCGACACAGCGTCATCGCCTGCTGATAACCACTCAACTTCTCAGGGAGATTAGCCGGCATGTTGCCTTTCCACGGATGTGGCACCCGCGGCTCATGACAAGGCCATGCTAAGGGCAAACTGACTGCTTGATTTTAGCTTTACATAACCGCAGTCAGTCCAGCACAATACGCCAATCGTATTTCACTATAACTCGCGTGTCATAATTGGGGATATGGGCTGCTCGGCCCTATATCCCTGATATGCCAAATAGACGAAAAGTGTGTTCTGAGCCTGTATCGCGTATAATAGGTTCATCGTAAAACAAATAATAAAAGTCTTAAAAATCAGGGTTCACGTGACACTCGGGTTCCAGCCAAGTTTTCCGCATCCGCAGGAACGCTACCCCCCTCTCGAATCATAGTATAGTGGACTCTGCAATGAACAGATTATGAAACTCCCTGCAGATTTACTACGGTCATTTCTGGTGACTGGTCTTGGGGCACCGTGGAAGCTGTGACTGGTTGCCAAGTTTAGTTTTGTGACTGATCATGGGGCATTTGTGACTACTTCGAAGCACAGCTCTGATTGATCACAGAGTCTTACTGTTGTGAATATTTATATCGATTGAGAAGTCAAGCAGCCACGGGGCGCTGGCCTTGCAGCTGTGAGTATGCATACGGTACATATTCACATGACTCTATTGTATGCTGGACACTGCTGGTCCATTGTTGCAGTGTGTAAGTGAACTGCAGAACCTATTCCGTGATGAAACACCTACTCTTGAAAGACTGAATGTTTGAGCTAATAGTCTTTTACTTCACTCTCATGCTGCTCATATAATTATACCATACGCCAGAAGACCCTAAGTAAAGTTAGTTCTAAGATTTTGTGGACCATGTGACCATGTGGTACTTTCACTCTACAGCCAAGTCAACCTCTTCGTCAACACACAGGGTTTTCCTCAGACACAAGCGAATGGTTTACTCCACTCTGGAGAAGAACACAGTTTGCTCTCTCGAACACCAACCGCAGATGACTACGGAATGTAGGAAGTGCAACAACTGCTAGAATATTGAACTGTCGTCCACACAAAACAAATAAAGACAACTGAAAACCAAAACACATGCAACTGCCAACATGCATGTAACAGCGACTGCAAGCCAGAACTACAGACTCCGCGCAGGGAGGAACAGGGGAAACAGAGGTAACGCTTCTGACTCCGAGAGCTTCGAATAGCAGTGGACAAAACAATACATCAACCTTACGTGTCACCTTGCGCTACCGCAAACGAACACCTATGGATGCACAGTGCAGCACAGACTCAGTGCATGCACGGTGTAATAACTGGAGTACATGTAAACCGACAACGGTCACCTTGCACCCTATGCAGTAAAATACATAGGCTTAACGTGAAAGGTAACGCGGGCGAGCGCGAGTCGTACGCGCTCGCGGACGTGCCTGACACGTGAAACAAAAAGATTTTTTTGGCGGGTAGTCGGCAAAAATTAAGTGACGGTCCCTTTAGTCCTTCGCGTTCGGCGAAGAACTAAAGGGACCGATTCAGGGCAGATCGTGACATGATGGTGACTCTGATTGGTGACCCATGCGAGAACAGACATTACACTTGCGGGTGGCCTTGCACTGAGTTGACCGGTGCCCTGTGCGCAAACACACAAAGCAACGCTTCTGTTCAATCAGTTATTCTTTCCGCTGTGCTACTGTTGTGTATTTCGCGCAGTCACCACATACCATGCTTGATGTTTCAAGCACCATCGGCGCAGGCCACGTTTTTCGGCACCGACGATTTGTTCGTCCACCAAAATTCGAAACAAATGTTTCTCACTTGAACACTCCGTAGAGCTGCCGCTGTTGTGCCAAGGCCCATTGGCGCATGGTGTGTATACTCCAAATCTACATGTATGATGATGGGTCACTGCTGACGTTTCTGCTCTTGGACAGTGCAACGCCGCATGAAGATATGTTGTGGCTCCACAATCGCTGAGAACGCTAGTGTGCGTCCATGAAATACTAAAACACAATAGGCGCGGCGCAGCTAACGCCCACTTGGATGAATCGGAGTGGTGGCGAGTGCATTCTCCTTCCTCGGTGAACACTGCTGGTCACCCTGTTTGATGATCCACCAAACACCATCGGTGCAGGCCGCGTTTTTCGGAACCAGCCATTTATTCGTCCACCAACAATTGAAATTAATGTTTCTCACTTGAACACTCTGTAGAGCTGTCGCTGTCATGACAAGGCCGTGTATACTCCAAATCTACATGTAGGATGAAGAGTAACAGTTACTGCTGATAATGAAGTTTGCGCTCGTGGACAATACAACGCTGTGTGAAGTAAATTGTGGCTCCACAATCGCTCTGAATGCTAATGTGTGTCCATGGAATACTAAAACACAATAGGCGCGGTGCAGCTAACGCCCAACGTGGATGAAACGGACAACAGCAGCGGCTAGAGCGTTCTCCTTCCTCGGTAAACACTGTACAAGACATTATGCTTGATGATTCACCAAACACCATCGTTGGGGGCCAAGTTTTCCGGCGCCAGCGAGTTGTTCGTCCACCAACTAACTTTGATGAGTCTTTCTTCAACACTTCGTAGAGCAGCCGCGCAAGGCCTTTCCTTTGCGTTAGGGTAGCGATCCTTCCTAGATGATGTCGCTATTCATTGTTACTTTTTACTACAATGAGTAGTGTTTCTCCGAAAATAAAGTCAGCTGCCTGGGCATTAGACTTAGTACTGCCTAGGCCTAGCGCCTAGCGCCTGGACTTGTAAAAAAATTGATTTTGCAAGTCTTCAATCATGTCTGCATGTACGCGCTATCCAATCCAGCCATGGCATGTGGCGTGAACAGATTGCTTGACGTGAAAGGTAGCGCGGGCGAGCCACGGGTGTTTGCAGTGCATGAACTCTGGCCAGTCGTCCCCGTACGCAAAATGCGTACGCATTCGGATCTACCGTACATTTCCTCGTGTTTTGGGCGAACCTGAGCGGTACGACGCTGTCGAATTGGGCCTGAATTTGCCCTGAACCAGCCGCTATCGAAGTAAAATTAGGTGTTTTGAAGACCACACGGGAACACTGCGGCCATGTCTTCTTTCCTGCGTTGTTTGTTTGAAAATCGGAGCGTTTTTGAGCTCGTAGTTTCGTCTTCGTTGTGGAATGGCCGTGCGTACATTCTCCTTGGAATTACCAAAGTCACACCCCGTTTCTTACATTACCAGGAGTTTTGCCGGCAGCCACGATAGTTTTTATCCCTGCTTCCATACATCCTTTCATTGAATAGCCAAACGAAACTTTGTGGCGCGCCTTAGTTTTTTGTGGCGCGGGGTCTCAAGTTTGTCACTTCGAGTTGTACACAACAGCCACATCATCTCAAAGGACCAAAAACACCAAGTGAGCAAAGTATTTCAACGTTGCGATTTTGCCTGACCTACTGTGAAGATGGAGACTTCTACTCGGTAGCAGATACTCGTATCAATAAGCTGGGAGGGAGAGCGTGGCGAGTAAAATGTTGGGATGAAAAGAGCCACATTCTCTCTCGGAAAAGTCGTCGTTCTCACACACGTACACTTGCTCTACCCAGATCTGCCAGAAGGCTAGATTTTGCATGCACGTGCGAGATTCGCATCCGCCGCGCACATAGCCAGAGTCGAAATATTTGTACTCTCGGATTTGCCGCCATCTTGACGAGTGGCCGCTGCGAAACACCCGTGGAGCGCGAGTCGTACGCGCTCGCGGACGTGTCTGGCACGTGAAACGAAAAGATTTTTTTGGCGGGTAGTCGGCAAAAATTAAGTGACGGTCCCTTTAGTCCTTCGCCTGTAAGTAAGTTTGTATCCCTGGTGATGTTTGTGCCTGGAGAGCACTATAAAAAGTAGAATAATAAGTATGATATTGCACGGTTCCGAGGGGATTATCTTTCAAATCCCCTGTAGGCGCGCAGCGCCGCGGGGATTATGAAAAAATAATCCTCGCGGACACTGTGTCCTGACCACCCTTTTCAGGCGATCAGTGTGGTAGATCTACACGTTTTGTGTGCTGTTTTGTGTGCTGCTTGACTTGTACAAAGACCGGTGCTACCATGTTGTGTTTTCTATGTCATTTCATGCTGGTCAAGTTGTTGTTTCTGTCCTTGTGATCGTCGTCTCCCCGCTGTCTTTTGTTGCTCTGGCTGTGCATTCGACAGCCTGTATGTAATAATACTTAATAGTATTTTAGTAGCGTTTACAGTGCGATAACTTGCGTAGTCACAGTAGCTAGAATAGGTGTAGGTAACGTGCTGTTTGTGTTCTAGAACGACGAGTAGCTAAGCTTGTTTGACATGGACGAAGATCTGGTTTCATGGGAAGTGTCTGATGAGGAGTATTATGAGCTTTGCTGCTCACTTGTTCCGGATGCTCCGGAGAAAAACTGCGACACAGATACTACAAGTAATGAATTTGACGAGCTTTGCTGCTCGCTAGTTCAAGATGTGGAGGATGAAGAGTTTGATGAGCTTTGTTGTTCGCTTGTCCCTGATGCTGATGATAATGCTGATGCTGATGATGATGCTGATGGAGCAAAGGACGATAATAATCATAATAGTGTCCCGGATGAGTCTTCCAGTTCCACGAATGATAACGCCAGTACTCGCTTTGCCCTGGTTTCGGACGAACAGGTTAGCGCCATGGCAAAGTCAAGTGTGCCCAAGAACACCAGAAAAAAATGGCCTGGGCCGTTTCAATTTGGGACAAGTGGAGATCATCAAGGGATTCAGCACAGTATCCAAACGAAAAAATGAAAAATGCAGCCGCTCGTCCAATTGTGGAGTTAGACGACATTGAGCTGGTGTGGCTCCTGCAAAGGTTTGTCCTCGAAGTCCGTGACGGTGGCGGCCAGGAGTACTGTGCCAAAACCGTCCACGAGATAATGGTTGAGCTGCAGAGAGCTGTCAGGACAAAGCGGCCTGACTGCAGCTTCTTTTGCTCCTGGGAATTCAAGTCGTTCCAGGACGTAATGGATGGCCTCATGAAGCAATCTGCAAGATTTGGCCAACCAAAGACGAAGCAGGCCCTGGCAATATGGCCTAAAGATGAAGATGTTCTTTGGAAGTCGGGTGTGTTGGGCGGAAGAAACCCAAAGCAGCTTGTTGACACGATGTTTTATCTTGTTGGCAAGAATTTTGCACTGCGCAGCGGAGAAGAGCACCGTGCGTTGCGCTTTGGTTCCACCAGCCAGATCAAGCTGGTGGAGAAGGACGGGGAGCGCCCGTACCTTCTGTACACGGAGGAAGTTTCGAAGAGTTACCAGGGTGGTCTCAAGACCCGGAAACTGACCCCCAAAACGGTCAAAGCCTTCAATAATCCGCAGTGCCCCGAGCGGTGCATTGTCTCACTCTTCAAAACCTACACGGACAAGCGTCCAGATAGCAATGAGTTTTATCTCAAGCCGCTGAGAAAACCAACCGAGGAGAAATGGTTTTCAGTACAACCAGTTGGGAAGAATACCTTGCGCACCATGGTGTCGGACATGTGTGCCCGTGCTGGCCTGAAGGGCTACTACACCAATCACTCTCTCCGCCGAACGTGTGCCACCGTCCTCTACGATGAGGGCATGGACGAGCAGCTGATTAAAGAACACACCGGTCACCGCAGCGAGTCCGTCCGAGCCTACAAGACGACGTCGCATAAAAGCGAGATGTGTGCATCTGATGTGCTCAATGGTTGTAAGGAGAGCACTCCTCACACAAAGAAGTCAGAACCGGAAGCCGAAGAGAAGGCACAGCTCAACCCTGCATCAGCGGCGCACTCAGGAATGTCCAAGCCTGCTGAAGGTGCAGCTAGTGAGCCTGTTGAGCCAGATGCAAAGAGGTCTCCTCTCGCAAGCATCGGCAACATCTATGCACAGCAAGGAGCTACCATGATCATCAACATGAAGTAGCATATCCTCATTAACGCCACTCTATTACATGTACCGGTAGGACTGTAAATATACAGTAGTGATGGATCACCGACGTACCGGATGACTGACTGCCGTTTCGAATGGAAAAAGAGACCTGCAACAGTGTACATGCAACTGCACTGGATATCAGTGTTCGTGACAATGGTCAGTATTTTCAAAGATAATGGGAAGCAGGCGCACAGATGCGTAGCACGTCCAGCCTGCCCACACACCTAGCGTACATTGAAATACCATCACAGAGAGCGAACCTAGAAGAAAAAAAGGTCAACCATTAAAATTAGTAAATTACCCAAGATCAAAATTGAATATTAACGAGGTTAGTAAGAACAAGGATTTGAATTTTGGCTAGAAATATTTGCTTGCAATTTCAAAGATTCGAACTGAGTGGACATTTACAGTACCACTAGTGCAGATACGTGAAAATTCACCTCCAGCATTTGCGAATGCAATATACGGGATAACATTGATAAGTCAAATGTTCACTGACCGGCCACCATTGGCAGTGAGCAGCGGCCAGTTGTTGAGCGAGCTACTGAACATGCCTGCCGCCATCATGCACTTGCACGCTACGAGAATGATGAAAGTTAACCGCCGGAGAGCATGCAGCCGCTGATTGTTAATTCACGAGTTCATTTAGCTAAGGCGGCCGTGGAGCGCAGTGTGCCAACACGACATGGGTTACAGGATGGTGCAGCACTTGCAGCACTTCAGACAGCAGCAACATTGGGTCTTGCGCTGTAGTTCGCGCGCTTGCCGTAGCTTCTCCACTGCCTGGTGCGTGTATTCGGTAGTATTGTCAACATTAAACTCTATACGATCGATCATCTCCCCCTACGAGAACAGAAAATCAGACAAAGAGACAGTGTAGGGAATGAAATCATTTCTCGTTTGCCTACTACTGCACCCTGATCAATGGGGTACAAAGAAACTCAAACACCCACGGAGTCACCATAGACAGACTGCATTGGCTTCAGCGGGACTCCATGCCCACAAGGCCAACCACCCGGTGAAATAATCTGTCGGCACTTGGAGGATATAATCATTGAACCAAACAGGCCTGCGGGCCGACATTTGACAACATGTTCAGAGGCGTTATCAATGTATTGTGTACGCTCTCCCATTAGTATCCAGGCTGGCCAGATTTACCAAAACATTTGATCATACTTTGCACAGGCGGACTATAAAGGACGGCTACACTGAGTGATGATTTAGTGACAGCAAAAGTCATGTCCAAGAAGTCACAGTGTATAATGTGTGTCCGGGATAAGAACATCAACTGAAGTAAACAGTACTGGTGGTGTCCCTACCTCCCCCCCCCCCCCCCCTCCCCTAACACACATACACCACACCCTCCCTTTCCTCAAGCTCGCCCACTAAGGACCAGAAAAGATCCCTAGGAAAATCTGATCCGGACACACCAGCCCAGCAAACAAGACGGTCTAACCTCTTACGTGTGCATATTCCCATGGACACCCGGGGCCATGCTAGAGCGGCTAAACCCCAACCGTATGCAGGTAACAGCTGCAGAACCGTGCCGTCATTGCATCACCAGCACGGACGGCACTGCACAGCCAGAGCATCACTAATACATGTGGGAATGTGCAATCAGAACGCACATCGCTGCTCTAGCCATGATGACAGACAGCCTAGACGGTTCACCCATGCAGCCAGTATCAAATCCCTTGTGCTACTAGCCTGTCCCTGCGGGAATTTGCGGAAAAAGTCATCGAAAACTTGCGCAAGAAATTGCGGCAGAAAACAACAAAAGATGCGGCGAAAAGTGCGGAAAGATGCGGAACTTGCCAGGAACTCGCGGAATTATTGGCGGGAAATTGCGGATTTGGGCCAAATCACGTAATTTGTTGCATCATTAGAATCGCTATTTGCGTACTGTGCAAATAACCCACGTACAGAATCATAGAAAGCACTGTATACTGCGTGAAAAGTGCAGAAAAATGTAAAAAGAAGTGCAGAAAACAACAAAAAACGCGGGAAATCGGGGACTTTTCAGAAATTTGCGGGTTTTGGCCAAAATCGCGGAATTTGTTGCATCCGTGGAATCGCGATTTCCTGGAGGGACAGACTAGCTTGAAGTACTACCATAGTAGTAGTAGTCATACGCAAATACAGGAGATGCAAGGCTGCTTCCACCTTAACTGTATAAGTTTCACCTGTAGGACGATCATCAGACAGTAGTAGTCATGCCAATAAGAGGGGCTTAGTTTGAGGGGCTTCCCCACGGTCGAAGATCTGCTTACCTGTCTTTCAACTAGTATCGCCATGTCTTGGAACATGGAGTGAAGCTCCTGAGCAATACAACCAACATAAGAAGCACACACGCGGCACAGATATACATGTAGAAGCAATTAAATTCACAATTGACTGGATGCAACAGAAACCACTGTTCGGACAGTGTCTGTGTGCAGTAAACCCGGAAACCTTTGCAATCTGGAATGCTTCGCGGCTTTCGCAATGGGTGTGACATCGCAAAAGTAAGCCGGTGCAGCCGTAGAACTGTTGTGAATAGACTGAAGAAATTGACTCCAATCGCAAACACGTCAACTGGTGCAAATTGTCTGTGCTCGCAAATCGTAAACTAAAACCGGTATAAAAGTTTCCCGCTTTACCGAATAGTACTGTAAAGCGTGAAATTTTCGCAGCGTTTTTAGTTCGCGTTTTCAGAATCCGGACAGGTTTGCGAGGTTTTAATTTTGCGATTGCAGAATGGCATTCTTGCTAAACCTGTGGCATTCTTGCTAAACCTTTCATGGATCTCCTTTTCGCGCTGTCTAAATTTCACGATTTCCACGTGGTCGCGAACTTTGCAGAAATTAGACCATCGCAATAATTTCACGGTTTACAGAAACACATGTGCAGGTTTGTGTTCAGACCCCACAAGACCACATGACCAGCACTCCAGTACTCTGATGATGAGTAGCTTTTAAGGGGAAGTATGGTCCAGAATCATAATCTCACGACTCGTAGTCTTCAGGGTGCTAAGTCAAATGGTCTTGGTCCGAGGAAGCTGAGACACTCCCTTCCTCCTTTACTAAGCTCCCAATCAAACTCGCCACTAGCAACCCGAAACTGGGTGACTGTGCCCTACTAGATGGGGATTTGTAAGCAAAATGTCACTAAAAGCGCCGTTTCATTCTTGTAAAAGCACGGATGAACGTGATTGGCCCGTATGTTGTAGTCTTTTGGACCGTCTGAGTCAACTGGTTTTGGTCCGAGAAGGCGCGATGCAGCGTTCGGCCCTTATTCCCAATCGAACACAGTTGAGTACGCGGTCGCGTGCTCATGCATACACTAGTCACCGAGCCTGCACGCTACAACTTACAGCCTGTTTATAAGTCTGTCACTTGAGTTGACCCTTGGTATGAATGTTGTAGGAGCACCCAAAGAAGAGTCAACAATCGTTGCCCAGCAGGGAATATGGAGTCAAGGAATGCACATTAGTCTCCAGCCCTGGTACTCCACGATCAAGCGACTCGTCACAGCCTGAGAAGAAACCTAGCCAGGTCGCTTCTAGCAGCAGCAGCAGCAGCTCCATAATAAATATATACAGTCCGTATCGCCTATAAGGTTGGCGGCTATAGTAATATACCGGATATAGTGGTCAATTTCTCAAAATTCATTTTCATTTGCCATAACTAAGTATACACAGTTATCGCGTATAGTAATAATCGTCTGTAGTAATATATCGCCTATAGTGATCAAATTCACATTTCAAAAGACCTTTATTACATTATTTTTGCCTCGGTTATAGTGATTGATGTAGAATCAAGTGATGTCATAGGAGAACAGGGTGTTACTTCTTCGTGAAGAACTTGTCCAGTGTCTCAGTGAGTGTTGTTTGGTGAGTTTTGCTCGTACAAGTTGCCAAAGTATGCCTCCATCATGAGGAAATGCTAATTTTGTGTGTCAGGAGCTACAGCCAGCTACATGACATTGTACATGTATGTAGTGCGTATGTGCACGGTGCGCTGAGTCGTTTGACACCCTACTCGCATCCATTGCATGCAGTATCGGTCATAGTAATATATCGCTTATAGTGATAAAATGCTCAAAATCAAACACCAACGCTGTAGGCGATACTGACTGTAGTTAGTTATAGCCGTGAATCAAGCTACAGCTTGCACAATAGCGTTCAGGTTTTAGATTCGCTCAGTTATGGAGGGAATGTTACGTTTCTTACTCTTATTATTCGATAGTACCATGTATGTGTGATGTGTGATAGAATGCATGACTGCTGTACTGCTGGAGGGTGCACGCACCCTGCTCTTTTGTTGGCGCTGCCTCTCCACTAAATAGGGTGCAAGGTGACCGTCGTCGGACTACATGCAGTCCACTTACTACGCCGTGCATGCATGCACTGACTGTGCGGTACTGTGCATTCATAGGTGACCGTTTGCGGTAGCGCAACGTGACACGAGACGTTGATGTGTTGTTTTGTCCGCTGCTGTTTCGAAGCTCTCGGAGTTGGAAGCGTTACCTCCATTGGCACTTGTGCTTCACTACGTAGAGTCTGTAGTTCTGGCTTGCAATTGCTGTTGCATGCATTCTGGCAGTTGCTTGTGTTTTGGTTTTCATTTGTAGTTGTTCGTTGTTGTGTGTGGACGAGAGTTGCATGTTCTAGCTGTTGTTACGTTCCGTAGACTTTTAGTTACTGCTGTTTATGATTGAGAGTGTGAATTGTGTTCTGCCCCGGAGCCGTGGAGTAAACCATTCACTTGTGTGTGCGGAAAACCCTGTGTTGGTGATGTCTGTTGACCTGGGTGTAGAGGACAAGTAACATCCCCCCCCCCCCCCCCCCTGCATGATCCCCGTAGCACGTTTAATAGTCAAGTCTTGCATTGTGCCGCTAATAACACCTTCATTCTGCACTCTCATAGTATGTCAGCGCTAGGGACCGTGCAGTTTAGATGAGTTTGTTACACCATCAACATCGCCATTCCCCGTTGTATGATAGCCATCACTTCTAATGTTGCCAGTTGTAACTGCGCAATGCCATGTGCATGAAACTCGGAGTAAGAACACTATCGACCTGACGTGGTAATAGGACACGCATTGAGCCCACATTGAGCACACATTGAGTCCACGTTCAGCCCACACGTGCGCACGCAAACATGTCTTGGTTTTACTTACTATGATGCTCGTCTCCAGGGACAGAATGGCATTGTGTCGCTCCTGTATTTCATTGTACGCCATCTTGGCCTGCGCAGTCTCCATTAGAATCTGCACATCACGTGACGGAGGCAAAGCAGAGCATGGAACATAATATAGCAACAGTAATGTACCGGTAGTCATTATGGGTACGACAGGATTGGCAGACCTATACACACTTTCCAATGTAGCTGCAGATTGGCCGACACTGAGTATCCCATGGCTTGTCATCTCTCTATCATGTTTTCTCACCCCCCCCCCCCTCTATCTCTCTCTCTCTCTCTCTCTCTCTCTCTCTCTCTCTCTCTCTCTCTCGTGCATACATGCACACACATGTATAGATAATATTATTACGCAACCCCTCACCACCCCCCCCCCCCCCACACACATCAACTGTTGAGATACACTCATACCACAGCCATGCAGCAGAGTGCTGACAGCGCTACTTGCATTAAAGTTAATTGCGAGTACCTACTGATACCTGGTCCCATTCCCGGCTACTAGTATCCAACACCGCTATAGCAAGAGTGGACACTGCTCAACCAGCACGTACTTACACCTTCTATCACCTTCTATCACCTTCTATCACCTTCTATCACCTCTCTGCTGTATTTTAATTCATTGTGCATGTTCATTTGATTTTGCCCGTATTTCATCTATTGATAAGGCATGAAAGTACAGTCAAACCTCGTTAGAACGAACATTGATAAGGTGAACTATCCTTTGGTACGAACTAGGGCCAATCCTATGGTTGGCCAGGCATCATATCAAGTCAAATTTATTCGTTTACGACGAACTCTGTACGGCGAACTTTCGTGAAGACGAACTAATTTCAAGCGTGACTTGAACAAACTCAGCGTTATGTACGAACTTTCGGTCCCATGGGTACGCTGGCTGTATTTTTTTCCGATAGTCGAGGCCTCTTGTAACTAACGTTACCGGCAAAGCATGTTACAAGGCGGATGTAATGCTGTCATGAATTCATTGCACATTGCACTTACCTGTTGCTGGGTTATGTTATGAAAAAGAAAGTTTTATCGATAAAAGTTATGATTTGCCACAGCATGCACCTTCACATAAATACAATCCATATGATACGCAAATCAATTTTTTTGTCAGATCTCAGAGATCTGGATAAGAAGAACTCTGCATAAGACAAACAAACGTGCTCGGTCCCTTGAAGTTCGTCCTAACGAGGTTTGACTGTATACCAGTGAAAACTTTCAAAATGTTCAAGGACCTGAACCGTGTCCCCATTCTTCTCAGTAGCATTACTTACACCTTGTGTGAATATACCTGGATCACCGTTCTCCAGCATGTCTTCCACTTCTTCTGGTGACTTGTCGTTGCCTGTTATCTCCAACTGGCGCTGGATCCGATCTTTGCAGCGGTCCCGGTACTGGTTCTGTATCTGATGATACTCGGAGATTGTGTCCACGAATGTACGCGTCAGGGATGCATGCTACATACAGCAAAGGGAGTTGCATCATGCCATGTTAATGTCGGCAACAGTGGCACGTGAAGGAACGGCACAGAGAAGTTTCAACGGCTTGTCTTGGCTCATATACATGCACATGTATATGTACACATACACATGTACATGCGTATGTGTACATATATACATGTGCATGCGTATGTACATCAGCAAAGCAAGCGCCAGTGAAATAACATACCGGTACATGTACGCTAAGTTACATGATGATTGTACAGGTACGCTAGGACAGACACACACGTACACACACGTCCACATACATGTAGACACACGCACACATACACACACATGCATAGACACACACACACACACACACACACACACACACACACACACTACTACTACTACTACTATTGAGAGCTGCCAGGATTGGCCACGCCGCTCCCAGATGGGAGGTACTGTCAGAGAGGTTAGGGGGGAGGAAGGCAATGCTCCAAGTGGCGTTCCAGATCTTGCCGCCTCCGGAACCGTCGGTTGTGGCAAACTTGGCAGTGAAATTTGAATTGTTGGCGTTCAGACACACACACACAAACACACACACACACACACACACACACATACACACACATGCATGAAACCGTGGGTGCAATGTGTTGTATGATGACAACTCTTCTTTATTATACAACGTAATATCCACAGTCATACTACACAATCATACATGTCCATACCTGTGCCTTTTGAATCCGATAGTCGGCAGAGGACCGATTGACCCCATCCTTGTCTAGGCTCATTTCCATGGCTGCACACAGAAACAAAATAACATCTTTTTATGCACCATCAACAAAATCATTTAATGAATTTCAGTTGTCCATTGTTCCCACTGAAGTTCAAGGAAGAGGCTGGTGATGGGAAGGGCAGCAAGCAAGTCCATGTGTCACATTACGCCGATACATCAATCATTGCAGGGTATGACCCGTACCTTTTAGCTTGTTCTGAATGGTCTTTGACCGCTTCTTGATGCTATCCGTCAGTCTCTCCAACGACATCTTGTGTTCTAGAATAAGTCAGTGATTGCATACAACAATCAGGATGGTGACAAAAGCAACAGCAAGAAAAACAGCACCAGGAGCAGCAGCAGCGGGAACCTCTTTTTGGTCATGTACCACTGTGATGACAGGAACAACGACGAAGACAACGACAGCAACAACAACAACAACAACAACAACAACAGCAACAACAACAACAACAACAACAACAACAACAACAACAACAACAACAACAACAACAGCAGCAGCAGCAGCAACAACAACAACAACAGAAAAACAGCAAAAACAACAACAACAACAACAACAACAACAACAACAACAACAACAACAACAACAACAACAACAGCAACAACATCTCTTATTGGCCACTGGCTATCGTGAGAATAAAGATTTGAAACGGCAACAGCAGCAGCAGCAGGAACAGCAGCTGTTCAGCAAACACATCTTTCTCCGCCCGGCACTCGTCACTCTCACCTTGGTCTGGCTGTGCTGCGCTGAGTAGCGTGTTGTGTAGCTGGTGTGCCTGGTTAACTTCGGCACTTAGCTCAGTGATCTGTGAGCGGATACCTTCCACCTGAGTAGCAGTAAGAGGATAACAAGAAACTAACCTGGGTCCCAGGGTCTTAAAGATAGAGAGGTCACATTGAAAAGCAACAAGGAGAAACTTCGTGATTTTTTTAAACTGAGATTATGCACCAAATAACAGACAAGCCGAGGCACACAGAAAGGGCCATTGCAAAAGATCAGGAGATGGCATGGTCATAGAACGGGTCATGTGGGTCCTGTAATAATGCTAGTATGGCAGGTGGAGCAAGACTGAGCATACTGTGAAGTATGCACCAGTTACATGTGATGCTTGAGACACGCAGAGTGGAGATAATGGACCAGGTATGTTGTTGTGACTGCACGTTTCATGCAAAAAAAATAGATCATCAAAGAACAGGAAAATGTGTGTGTGTGTGTGTGTGTGTGTGTGTGTGTGTGTGTGTGTGTGTGTGTGTGTGTGTGTGTGTGTGTGTGTGTGTGTGTGTGTGTGCTAGAGATGGTTTTTGAGTGCTGGCGGGCTAGCTTCACATAAGTGTCTCTCTAACTCGGCTGCTGAAGTGGCGTCGGTCTCGTCTGTGGCATCGGCAGACTCGGTCCGGAAGCAGCGGGTTGCCCTGCTGCAGAGCGCATTGTCTCGGCTACGGTCGCTGCTGCAAGTCATCCCGTGGTTTCGACCTGCATAGCTGTGCTAATTTCCTGTCCAGGAAGTAGAGCGGCGTTTCTGGATCCAATGCTGAACTCAGTGCTGTCGACCCCTGCACAGGGGACACGTGACCATTTGATGGCAGTGTTACCAAGGACCAAGGTGTGTGTGTGTGTGTGTGTGTGCGTGCGTGCGTGCGTGCGTGTGTGTGTGTGTGTGTGTGTGTGAGAGAGAGAGAGAGAGAGAGAGAGAGAGAGAGAGAGAGAGAGAGAGAGAGAGAGAGAGAGAGAGAGAGAGAGAGAGAGAGAGAGAGAGAGAGAGAGAGAGAGAGGAGAGGAGAGAGAGATAGGTGATAGAGAGATACAAGATAACATCGTACCTCATCAAAGACGACAGAGAAATCACTGGGGTACTCCTCAAAGTATCCACCGCCATGGGGCCCAGCCTCTTCTGGCACTGCGCCCTTTACAAAAACAAAACAGGTTGACAATGGCAATGCAAGGATCGGCATGACAGAACACACAGCAGCAAACATAGACATCGTAGTGATCATCTGCCAGTATTGTCAAGACCTTCTCATTCCCTTGCGTACTGACACGTGCTGTTTGTGGATATTGTCATAGACTTTCGCACTTGCTTTGCCAGTCCAATTCTGTACTTGAAAGTGTTTTTTTCTGCAAACGCAAGTACAGTTCTACTCTGGTACTATCCTTGATCTTCAGTACCCTGGAGCATACATGTATCTAATCATATCTGACACGTAATATTTCACCTTGAGGCCTTGAGAGGACAGGAAGCTTCAGTTACACAAGTCCCGGCACTGTTTCAAATGCTTTTGGTCACAACTCCCGCAATGGACTGCACCACGGTATGCTGAAATCCCGCGCAGCAGCTTCCCCATTGGGTATAGGTCTACGCTCATTACTAGACAACCTCAGGGGTTTCAACACTCTTGCCTTATGTCGAGTTTTATCTACTATCAGGACTTGAACATTTTTTCTGCTGTTTTACATCATGCATATGTAGTATCCACTTCGGAAATGATGTATCCTTATTATAAGACAAAGCTTTCTCCCAGACCCTGTACAAGACAATTTTTTCCATCGTACCCCTATACAAGACAACATGAAACATCGATTGAGCTATCCATGGCCATTTGCTTTGGCTTGTAATGAGGGAATCGAACTTGTGGGACAGCTGAAGGCGGCGTTATAACAACATTTGTCTACAAACAAATCATCTCTTATCCCGGACGTGCATGGGACGACTGTCACATGCATTTCGTCCGGCGATTTTGAATGAGATTTGTCTTGTAACCTATGTGGTACTAACGAGGGTAGACGTGTATGACAGTAATCTCACCAAGGTGTGCGCCGCGGTGCCAGGATCAGACTAAATCAGTGTCTGCTCTAGGATTTCAAACCCGCCGGGCACATGTACACCTGGCGCGACCCGCGCAACCGGGTCAGAGCCGGGTACGTTCAAGTGCGGGCCGCAGAGTCGTGAAATATGTTACGACTCCCTGATGTACCGGTACACGTACTACTATGAACAGTGCGTACTGGGCACTCTGCCCGCATCTGGAGCCTGTAAGTGTGTGCTCCCGTCAAGTATAAAACAAGTTAAGTATTCGACGCGCACACTCCCAACCAGGTCGCAAGTGACCCGGAATTCGTTTTTCAAACGGGTCCAAGTACCCCAAGCGACACTGTGCCTCTCTATCTTGACGTGGGTTTGAACAATAACTCACATAACCGTGGATTCAAGCAGCTGGCGAGCAGATAGCCAGCCAGCATGTGCATAAATTCACTGATAGGCAGCGATCTGGCCTCTATACGCGGATTTACGGCAAAGTGGACTCGCATAGTATTCACCGTTTGCTATTTCAATTAGCCACCTAAGAAGTCATCTCTGTCAGTTGGCTATGGATGGAATGAACATTTCCTTTGCCCTTTTCACTCACTGTGCAGGGTGGCCTCACCACAACATATCAACATCATGCTGAATCAGGACCAGTGCTCTTTTTCTTTTTTAAGTTTTGTAATTCCCCTTCATTTTCTAGCATTTTGGAATGGAATTTTGTTGGCAAGGACTCAGGAGCGAAGTGTTTCTATGAGTATGAGCAGAACGCTGAGGTAAAGTAATAAGGCTGGTGTGAAACACGATCAGATGCATACTGAGTGTGCTCGGTCCCCTGATTCCCTGTTCTCGCCTGGCTAGGCTGCTGCATGCAGTGGCATTGCGATCTGCCTTACCGGAACCGCTCGTTGTAAGTCAGCAAGCCTGTCACGCATCTTGATCTGCCAGCAACACTGCCGCACCAGAGAACATTCGCAGAGGCCCCAATCCCCCAATCGGCCCAACTGTTACTTGTAGTACTCGAGCAGCAGCTACTTAGCAGGGACTGCGTTACATACAGCAGGTAGCAGATGCTGCTGTCTGACGATGTCCTGCTAGTGCTAGTGCTACCGCTACGCTAGCCAGCTGACTGACGACGTGCGTGTCGGCGACCAGAACACCATGAAACACTAGAACGTCTTGCTTGCAACGCTCTTCGCACACTGATTATCAACAGCGACCGATTCCAAACAGAGTAGATGTATGACAGTTCTGTTGCTCCTCGCTCGCACCGGTACGATTGGTGGGTGCTCGCAGCCGTACTGACTCAGTGACTACTGTGCTTCCTCGGTAGAGGTTTCGTAGTCAGACAGCCTGGCCTGTGCAAATTTAGAGCACAAACTGGATTTGCAATACCGGGGCCTGGGCCAGTTCGCCAAGACTGGCAAGAGTCAAGACCACCAAGAAAATTAACAAAATGGTACAATCTTGACATTGTATTGACTATTTTTAAATAAAATACTGCACTTGGAAGCTTCTTCTGCGGCGCCTGTAGTGTAGGCTGTACCTACAGTACAGCTGCATGAGCGGCACGCAACGGATACATTGTATTATGAATGATTGCGTTTCCGTGCGCTAAAAATATCCAGTTCCTGACCTCTTCATACAAGTCATGACAGACCTGTGTCTGTAATCTTGGTAATCACTGACTCTGTATATCTGCACCAGGTCAGTATCCAAATAGTTGATAAATATGGTGGTAAAGACACCAGGATAGCATCATAGCGGCTCAACGGAAAAAAACTGTGAAAGATTGGGTGTCGCTGAAGTCTTTCACGATAACCTTTACTTGTCTTTACCACCATATTTATCAACCATAAGTACAGCTGCAGTGGTGTCTTCAACTAAAAAAGTTACTTCATTCTCCCAGGTCAGTATCCAGCCTGTAAAATGTTCACCGGTGGGACGGGCGCAAGACACCAGCTCTCATGACCCCTGCGTACCGGTGCTACAGACCGGTGCGGTCGACCATGTAGCTGGCAGTCGGTCAACCCCAAAGAAAGGAACTTCGTCCGGTTTGAAAATTTCGTCCGGGGACCAAATGAGTGTACATTGTATTGAAAAGCCAAAAGCATTGGACGAAAAAGACCGACTATTTCTGCTTCTGCAGTAGCTAGGCCTATAGGTAGGGCAGGAAAGAAAATCACTGTGGAAACATTATTATACAATTTTTGGGGGTTTTAGGCTTCGAAGAAAGTAGCTACTATTCGCTTGATCGTAGCTGGACAGCCTGACCTCGTCAAGTTGAGCATCTATCCGTTTTGGTTTCGCTCTGTAAAGAGCACTTAGGGTTCCCTGGAACAAGACGGCAACGTCTGTAGGACCTTCCTTATCAAAATACTAAATTCTACTAATTGGCGTTTACATGAAGCAGCTACATGTAGCTACTAGTATGCTGTACAAGATGTAATAAACTGATTGCAAAGTTAGTTACCGGTACTAGTATTTAGATCAGCTGGTTCAGCGGTTCGTCATTTTGGAGATCCCCGCTGGGGTGGAGATGATCCAAAATAATACTGAACCCCGAGCAGCTCTATTATACTCACGGTGAAGAGCATGATAACCCTGGACCCGTAACCGTTACTGGACTTGCAACCGTTGCTGGACCTGCAACCGTTGCTGGACCTGCAACCGTTGCTGGACCTGCAACCGTTGCTGGACCTGCAACCGTTGCTGGACCTGCAACCGTTGCTGGACCTGCAACCGTTGCTGGACCTGCAACTTAACCGTTGCTGGACCTGCAACCGTTGCTGGACCTGCAACCGTTGCTGGACCTGCAACCGTTGCTGGACCTGCAACCGTTGCTGGACCTGCAACTTAACCGTTGCTGGACCTGCAACCGTTGCTGGACCTGCAACCGTTGCTGGACCTGCAACCGTTGCTGGACCTGCAACCGTTGCTGGACCTGCAACCGTTGCTGGACCTGCAACCGTTGCTGGACCTGCAACTTAACCGTTGCTGGACCTGCAACCGTTGCTGGACCTGCAACCGTTGCTGGACCTGCAACCGTTGCTGGACCTGCAACCGTTGCTGGACCTGCAACTTAACCGTTGCTGGACCTGCAACCGTTGCTGGACCTGCAACCGTTGCTGGACCTGCAACCGTTGCTGGACCTGCAACCGTTGCTGGACCTGCAACCGTTGCTGGACCTGCAACTTAACCGTTGCTGGACCTGCAACCGTTGCTGGACCTGCAACCGTTGCTGGACCTGCAACCGTTGCTGGACCTGCAACCGTTGCTGGACCTGCAACCGTTGCTGGACCTGCAACCGTTGCTGGACCTGCAACCGTTGCTGGACCTGCAACCGTTGCTGGACCTGCAACTTAACCGTTGCTGGACCTGCAACCGCTGGACCTACGTCACCTGTAACCAGGGAGTAGTAAAAATAATGTATTTTACTACTCCCTGCCTGTAACCGTTACTGGATGGTCTACAGTTGTTGCTGTATATACAACAAGAATACAAAAACCTATCCCACTTGTCTTACATTGTTGCAAGTGGAAGTGCTATCCTTCATGCCCGTTGTGTCCAAAAATGGGAATGATCCCACTTTGGAAAGTGTCTTGAATCATGTCCTACTTTCATAGTATTCTCAGGATTCAAATAATTGGTGTGTCATTTTTTAACAAATTTGTAAAATGGCATCACAAACTGGGATATTCGGTCATCAATGTTCTGAAGTTGATAGATATCACTTCAAGGATTGCTAGTGGATGAAAATTAATCTGTCAACAGAGGAGTGAACTGCATTGTATGCTGCGAAAGCCGTGTTTTTGTATTTGTAACTAGTGGCTGTGTTATACGGTGGAATTGGATAGATAGCATAGCATCGCAGCGATGTTTTCGTTCTCACAGAGTGCATTCCGTGACCTACTGTTCTTCATTACTGTCTCTAGTGATGGCAAGAGGGCCTGACGTCGTCCAAAGGCCCTGCGGAAGCAATTCACTGCCCTCCTCGTCCATTCAGGGGCTCATTTTACACATTTTACACAAAATGGCAAAGCACCCACCACTAGTTATACCAATGTGGCAGGGAGAATTAAATTATATGCACCAAATTTTCTGGTCAATGTTGATCTACGATAAACTGGCTCCCATTTGCCACCACCCATGTTTCGATACAGCCATCCGGAGCAGAGAAACAGCCAGAAGAAAAGCAAATTTTACACAATAAATGCCAAATGTTAAAAAAAGCCAAATCACCTCGTACAAAATCAGCCGTAGACTTCTTCTTTCTGTCTACGGCCATACCACGTTGAAAATACCGGTTCTCGTCCGATCACCGAAGTCAAGCAACGTCAGGGCTGGTATTTGGGATCACAAACGGGAAACACGTCAGAGGCCATCTTGAACCACCCAACGTCATCAGATACCCGCTTGTGATGCAGGGCCGCGAGATCGCGACTGCGCAAAAGTGTACTTGCCAGTGCAGTCTTTTGTAGCTGCAAGAGCAAGTGCTAGTTTATAATCATAGTTTTATTTTTTGATGGTGCTGGAACTAGTTCGAACTGCTTCCCTTCGACTTTCTTTGACAGAGCGGGTGCTGTTAGGGTTTCCTGTTGTCAGTTTGTATCCACCACCGGTCTTGTATGTCAGTGCTTGTACAAGGAGGTGTTCAGTAGTTATTTTCAGTCCGCACCATGGATCGCATCCAGGGTAGGAAATCGCACTCTGACCGGCTTGATTATCCCGAGTCGAGAAAGAAGCGAACTACAGTCCATTCAGAAAAAAATGAACTTCTAGCTTTTGGCCATAAATGGGTCAAACGTTGAGTTTTTTTAGAATTTTTTTCTGCAATCCCATATGGAATCCTCTTCCAATTATGTTTCTGAAGTTTTTTGTCCAAAAAGCAAGCCATAGCAAGAATAGGATTTCGGCCAGGTTTTGCCCCAAAAGCACTGAATTGGGAAAAACCATCAAAATCCAGGCCGTTTGACCCCGCCTGCAACAGTGCATTCTGCGGTTCGAACCCCAGTTCAGGCACCCTTTTTGGACCCTTTTTCAAATTTCAAAGTTCGCAGCACTGCACTGTGTACGATGAAATCACGAAAAATCGCCAAATACGGGAGCTCGCCAGAGCCAGGACCCATTTTTTTATGAATGGACTGTAGTGGCCAGTTCGGCTCAGTATCATGGCCAGCTGGACGTAGATCAGATCACCCCGAGGTCGAACAAACCGACAGTAGTCCTGAAATCCTTACCTCGCAGAACATTGACGATGTGGAGCGCGGTGTTCAAGAACAAGGAACCATGGTAATAATTGGATTCGCTCCAGAAAAATTATTCTCGTGGTTCCCGGTTCCTTTCCCAATAATTATTTCCTATGGTCTGGATACGTGCATCACGCTGAAGCCTAGATGAATCAGATCGTGTAAGTCAGTCTTCTCTCTAGCTCAAGATTTTGCGAACACGTTATCAGTGAACAATAAAAGCAAAGGACACAGTGCAACAAATGGAAAATGCACGTCTCCTTCTTTTCCTTGCCGTGCGCACTGCACTGTCACAGTCTGCAGTTCTGACTGGAAGGTGTCTTCCGTTTGTGAAAGAACCAGCGCAAGTCGCGCGTGGCGCGGCGTTCTTCAAAACGACACAAGTGAGCTCCACATGAGCCGATTTTGACAATCGATGGCTCAAAATTTTCAGTAGGAGATGCTCCATACTTTCACCGAAGCGAATTTCGCCAAAACGATCCTAGAGGTGGGACACGTTTACCGAGTTTGAGGGTGTTATTTGAGGTCTAAATTGCGAAAATCAAAAAATCCTTCGGTGAATCCCTTTGCCCACATCTGAACTCGGTGCCTGCAAAATCCCAGCCTGCTAGAGAGAACTGTGGCTCACTTGCGTGGATTTGAACAGGCCAGAGTCGACGCGAAGTACGGCAAGATGCCCTGTACACAGCATGGTCTGACACATGTCACGTGAACCAAGATGGCGCCCACGTGTTTCTTGTAAGCGAATGACTGTTGGGACATTCTTCCAAAACATGACGTCACAGAATTCGTAAAAAAAAGACAACTTTTGTCGCAAGCGGCTAGCCTGTCGCGAGCGCGAGACTCATCATGGGCGCGCTCGAGCTGCGAAGCGCGACACACGAGCGCGCGCGCGACCCAAACTGTGTCACGTGTGTGTCGAATCTGACCGGCCGTCATTGCATTATGATCGCCTTCGATTATTTATTTTCGTTCTACTCGACAATTCCAAAAATCAGTGCCATTGGCTTTAGCTTTGCCCTTGAACTTGAAATCTCGTGCCTTATTCTTTCTTGGGGACTGGTGTTGGATATTGAACGGGCGGAGTGACCGCCGGGATGATGGATGAAGGAGATGATGGCCTAATCTTGGCTGCACGCATTCTCATTTTCGCGTGGCCTGCCACTAGTGTTTGATTCACAAAGGGTGTCACAAGCATAGCTGGAGGAAGAAAGGTGATGTGAACTTCAGAAGTTCTGCCATCGCAGCACTGTATAGAGGGCCATTAGAGGCTGTGTAGGCTGTATGTTTGATTTAGCTCAGTGCTGAGCTTGCACCACACCACAGGTAGCATATTGAGTATTATTTACATTATCCACATAACTTGAACCGCTCTGTGAGCGGTTCTGAAAAACCTTTACTGGCGCCGCCCCGTCGTAAAAGTAAGAAATTAAAACTGGCTCATTGTACCCCCAAATGTGAACTGATCCACCTAAATCGCAAATGACGTGACCCGAACGCAGCAGTAGCACGAGGGTGCACTTGTGGTGTGCCGCAGGGCTCTGTACTAGGACCCATGCTGTTCTCCATATACACCAGAGATATCCCCTCGGAATCTGCGCCGGCATCATCACTGCAGTTTGCGGATGACATCGCCCTGACATGTGCAAGACGGACAGCGCAAGGGGTGTCTGATGTGCTCAGCTTGGCGGTTACCTCCCTCTCAAGTTGGCTGGACGCTCGTGGTCTTGTATTAAATGCAAAGAAGAGTAATGTATTGGTTTTTGCCAGCAGCAGTGGGCAGCAGCCGGGCGTGGGTGTACGCTGTCGAAATGATGTGCTTCCGCACACCACCAGCGCGAAATACCTCGGCGTCTTAATCGATGAACGAATGACCTGGCAACCGCAAGTTGACCGGTGCATCTCACGCACTGCTAGGAAGATCGGTAGCCTGTGGCGGGCGCGACACTGCCTCACTCTAGCTAGTCGAAGCAAGTACTTCCTATCTGTCATCATGCCGGATTTGATATATGGATCGTCAGCATATGGCTCCGGCTTGACCCACAACTAGCTAAACCGCTTGCAGGTGGCCCGAAACCGCGCAGCAAGGGCGGTGTTCGGACGACCACGATTTACCAGGGCCAGTGATCTCTTGGAGAGGCTCTCTGTTTGTCGCATGGACGAGGTATATCGCCAGAAACTGCTCGTGCTGGTATGGCGGTGCGTTCATAACCGTGCCAGTCCTGCTCTGCAGGCACTGTTTGTTCGCAACTGCGGAGCAACTCGCCTTCAGCGCAGTCTGGGCCTACAACAACCAATAGCAAGAAGCCGAGCAGGCCAATGCCGACCGGCATCTCGCGGTTGCCTGTTATGGAACCATATACCTGACACGGTGCGAGCTATGGGCAACATCCCAGCATTCCGCCAAGCTGCCATTCCCTACACGTAAGTCGTTGTAGACTGCTACACAGTTGGCCATACCATGGTATTCAGTACCCACGAACTTTGCAAAGCCGATAATGTGATAATGTACCGTGGTGCATGCACCGGTGGTACCACCACTTCGTAGACTGCCTCCCGTTCATTTCTGTGCTCCTGTCTTTATTCTCGTCAGCTGTGTACTTCAGCAGTTCAATTCTGTGCTCCAGTCCTCTTTATTCTCGTGAGTTGTGTACTCGTTTTGCTGTTTGTCTGGTTTATTTGAATTCGCACAGTAAATGTGTACTTCAGTTATTCTCTCCTCCCTCTTCTGAGTTTGACTCTCCGCTGGCCTTCTCTCCTCCCATCCCCTTACATCGTATTGGGCCTCCGCACACACTACATTGTCACATAGCACAACTCAACCATTCGCTACCCTGTTATTGAGCACTCCTGCTCGTTTGGTCTCGCAAATCCAAATAAAATCAATCAATCAAACAGGTTCCTACCTGTGGATGCAGCTGGGGACGCTGGTCCACAGGCCATGGTCGTCGATGAACTCCCATGTTGGATATCCGATGGAAGTAACTATGTGTACTAGCAAAGTTACACTGCCACTGATACCATGTACTAGTGATGGTGTTACCCTATGATGTGCTGTGATCCTGTGCCCTCCCGACCTCGTGCTAGTACTGGTGCGTTCGGGTCCCGTCATTCCCGATTTAGGTGGATCAGTTCACATTTGGGGGGGACAATGGGCCAGTTTTAATTTCTTACTTTTACGACGGGGCAGCGCCAGTAAAGGTTTTTCAGAACCGCTCACAGAGCGATTTTTATATTATGGATAATTTCAGTTCTTTTTCCGTTCCCTCCCCACCCCAACCCCGAAGGTAAACATGATGAACACGCGCGCGATGTACTGTATGTAGGCATGAGACTGCGATAACACACTGATACATACCAGCCCTCCCCACCTCGCTTACCCCGCACACAGATACACAAACACGCGGATGCACACGGTACACGCACACATACGCACATGCACACGACACAAACAGGAAATTCTTCATGTAAAATGCCATGCAAAGCAGTGGCCACTGTACTTTTAAAAGGAAGTCAGTTGTGGAACAAAATAATTCAACTACAACGTGTAGACAAGCTGACGGCCAAAGCACAACATAGCAAACATGACATTTGCCCAAGGATTGCAGTTTGCAGACCACGCCATGGAAGCAGCGAATACAGAATGTAATATCATACAAAGTGACAAGCAAAGAAGTGGCCACCATACACCAGAGACTTGCAGAAAGTCACATATCCAACAGATGGAAAAGTGAACAGCAATCTGGTACAGCCCACACAAGACAAAGCTGACCTGATACTTGTCCCAGGATCGCAAGTGGCAGATCCTTTTCAATGCATAACACGCAGGTGTACGTTACACGCATGGACAAAATCTGACCGTGTCGCCAGCATACAATGTCATCACATATATACCCCACAAGTTACACACATGCACAGTAGAAGCACAATGAGCAATGGAAAAGTACGATGTGGTTGCTGAAGCATCTTCGCACTTCAAATTCAGACTTCAATGTGGTCGTCACGAGATGATATACCTGCAAGATACAAGTGATGCAGAAAGAAAGCAGAAGGTCGTGAGGTAGGCTATGAGACACCACAAACGGGTCACCTACATGTATGTTCAGGGCTAGTGCACTCGCACGCAGAATTATCATAATCGAGCATTTCCCAAACTGAGAAGTGCAAGGAAATCCACTTGCATGCACAGGAGCAATTTTGCCGCTGATGTGATGCGCAATTCGAGACGATCTGCGATGATGCGTGCTCACCTCTGATGCCGATTACTTCCTTGCTTAGACCGGCCCGGTCTGCTCTCCCTTCACTCTCTTCTAAATCCTACTTAGAGCAGTAAGGCTGTGTTACTGCTCCTACTGATAACCCAGTTAGGTTGTGGTCATTGTTGTGAAAGCAATATCATCGTCATTGTGGTAATAACATACGTTTTTGCACAGCGGCTGGCGCTAGAACGTGCAGCAAGCAGCACGCTTGTACTTCGGATTTTGCGATTTTTTCGAGGGCAATGGCTTCCTTTTTGCTTTGGCTACCTACGAAGTATGACCAAAAAATCCATGAGAAGTATTTTTTGGAGCTGGAGTACGAGTGGGGTTGTCTGATAAGTGCTAGGAGAACCCTCCTTTGTGGCTGTAGAGGGTATACTTCCCCTTTAAAAAATCACGGGTCTGCGTGAAACTCAGATTGAGCTATCAGATTTTCCCCCGAGACAGAATAATGATTTCACTTAGCACCATAGGAGAGAGCAATGAAAACAAACACGATGACCAGTAAGAGCAAAAATCTGGAACATGACTTCTATTATGTTCTAATTTAGTTCTAAACGAAGCATAACGTCAGAACGGGACATTTTCATGTCTGTTGTCGGCAGGAAAAGGTCAATTGTCGGCGGGTCGTGAAATGCCTCCAAAATCAGCAGGCTACTGACATGTCGGCAGGTGTGGCAACACAGACACACACACACACACACACAACCACACACACACATATACACGCACGTACACATGCACACACGTACACACACACAAACACACACACACATACATGCACACACACACACACACACACACACACGCATTACACCTTCAAGCAGCCGAGCCCGTTAGCAACAGACCCAACACAATCAGGCATAAGTGCACCCACCAACCGAACTAGCTGGCACATACATACACACACTTACACACACACACACACACACACACACACACACACACACACACACACACACACACACACACACACACACATACATACATACATACATACACACTTACACAATCTCACTCACCAGTAGGAATGACAAAAGTCCAGCCTGGTTTCAATTCGACGCGGGCACACTTCTCGACCATGTCACCCAGGAATATATCCTGCTGTTTACCCGACAACACCCACTGCTCATAGATCTGAAGATTGATTGGGGTCGGAGGAATCAGCCAGAAAACCTGCAGTGCACAACAAACATACGCACACACACACACGGCCGCATTGTAAACAGTACAGTTAGTCACACCTTTTAACACTGAACCTCAACGGTAAAGAAGGGTTAGAGCACCGCTGCCCTCAAGTGAAGGCGCCTGGCTCGAGTCCTGGTGGCGCCAGTCAATTTTTTCTTCAGACGTTTTCCCGTTTGCATCTTTCCCTCAACCAATGAACAGGTAAGGAGTCGTCCGTATTTTTCGAAAAATTAAAAAATCCGTCCTCGGGCAAAAAGGGGTAGGGTTGTCAAGAGTGCTGGCTGAATTAATTTTTTTGATTATTCGTACTTTTTTTTCTTTCTTTTTTTTGCTCCAGGCCGGGACTTTCACACACTTGTTGCACTGACTGTGTAGTGTACTGTAGACCAGGGAGTCGTAAAATACCTGTATTTACGACTCCCTGCTGTAGACGTAGTGTAGGATCGATTGTCGCAAACACCAGTATCTACTATACATGACTTTTCAGACTTTTCATGTACAGTCGTCCCTCTCTAATCCAGCACTTTATAAACCAGCACCCTCGATAAACCAGCACAATTTTCAGTAGCCAAAATGTCCTCTTCATGCACATTGCAGCAGTAAATCAGATTTGTTAATCCAGCACCCTCCCTTATCCAGCAGATTTTCAGTGGCACAAATGGTGCCGGATTATAGAGGGGCCACTGTAGTTGTAGGACGTGTATGGCCGTTGGTAGACCTACTACTCACTGTACTTAGAGTGTACTACATATAACGTTACATGCATAGGATTGATTGATTGCAGCTTATATCAATCATATCTTCTGAAAATTGTAGTCCAAGTTGCTGTCTGATGATCGGTTAAAACCGTGAAACTCACGAGTTACAGCAGAAACGCTTTTGATTCTCTCAAATGTATGTAGGATTGCTGACGTACCAGACTGGGTGACTCCACTTGAGGCTCCAACTTAGTCTTGGTGAACTCCAGGCTAATGACGTTGTAGAGTTTGTCGCGTTTCGCATTCGTGTAGTACCTGCACAAGAGAGTACATGGCGTGTGCCAAACACACACACACACACATGCACACACACACACACATGCACACACACACACACACACACGCGTACACACACACACAAACACACACACACACACACACACAAACACACACACACAATGTAGCTCCGCGTCTCTTGGAACCTAAGAAAACACCCAAAAGACACCATGCCACCAAGACTTGCACTGAAAGGCTTACTTTGTAAAGTTTGCCATGCTCGTGGCGGAGCCTTGTTGTGAGGACACATCCATGATGTCAATAGTATGCCCACGCCTGCCCATCACCCAAAGACCCCCTAGCGATCTCACTGGCCCATTGCCCGCCATCCTCCTGGCACCTCCACCCATCTGCTGTACACTGCCTCCCCATCGCCTCTTTCTGCGCTTTCATGCTCACACCTGCCTGTTGCCTGCCACCCTCCTGGCACTTCTACTGTCGCGCCGTGGCCCGCACCAGCTGTTCTTCCCATACCTTACACCAGATTTAGCGCTAAATTTGTTTATGCTTCTGGCCCTATGTATTTATAAGCATACTGACTCACTGTTGGGTAGACCCGAGTATCAGTTGCCTGATGTTTGCCTAACGGCATGAAACTCAAGAGTTACAACCAACCTGAACGTCCTCTGCTGAGTCTGCTATGATTTGAAAACTCCGTATGGCGGAACCCAGATGCGCATGCAGTTTACGTAAGGGGCCGTCCGTAAATATCGATGTTTTTTTAGAGACGATATTGGTGCGTCTGGGGGGGAGGGGGTTTGAGCCATGTGCGTCTTTTCGAGCATCAGAAAAATATCGATGTAAATATCTGAAGTTTCGCCGATCCCTGCACGCGGACGTCTAAATGGCTATACAAGAAATGTGAAACCAGCTTCCGTTCGCGGAGCTAAAACTCGCGACACAAGAACAAAATCAAAAATTGGAAGCTGTACGCCCATGGCGAATTTCAAGAGCAAAAGAATGAGCTATTGATTGTGGAAATCGGCCGAACGATGCCTGCAGGACCTTTTTCAAGACGTAGAGGCAGTGCGAACAAACACGGACGAACTCCACAAGAGTTTGCAGTCTTCACTGTCTGAACAAGGATTTGAAAAAATTCAAGCCCGAGCGTAGCCGCTTTGGCTACACCAGTACACGATGGCTGTGAGCACTGCAGCGCCAACCCGGTTCGCTCCCCCCAGGCGATGCAGCTATTGCGTGAGTGCGGCGGGATTTTCACGCCTACACCGGACCCTCAACATCCTGGGCACTTCATGAGCATCCAAAAATATTGATTCCATGATCTAGATGTACATGTGCGTCTTCTGGGGGGAGGGAGGGGGGTCAAGGGAGAGAAGCACCAATATCGTCTCTAAAAAAACATCGATATTTACGGACGGCCCCTAAGACTTTCCGTAGATCGACTACATTTTTTAAGTAACGTAATTACGTTATGCGGAACATCTCTAACAAAGTACAGTGAGTGCAGGGAAATACTTCGACAACTGCAGACAGTCAGTTATAGGCGATTCACACGACAGCCACTTGCACGTTTTACGGCGAGTGATTTACGAGAAAATTGACTGTGTGGATTCACATGGCTGCACTCAACAGCGGGCACGTTTGCATTTTTGAATGATTCACCCACCAGTTGCCATGAGTATTTCAAATTTTCAAAACACGTGTACAATAATTATCATGGTGAAAAGAGCCGCGTAAAAAATCAAGTCTTGTTTTGCGCTTTTTGGTGTAAATATAGTTTACTGCTTGCCGCAGAGGGGCTGAGGGCTAGACCCACAGGACACTTCTCAGTTTCGGCGGGGACCGTGAATACCCCCGACACACGACCAACAAAATCTCTAACTGTCTTTGACGCCATCAGAATATCTATGCAAACACAGCCTAACGGACAAAGTCAAACAAGCCGTGACCTGATGTTGACACAGCCTGGTCAGTATGGAGCTTGCATGTCGAGTCTGCAGTTAAGGAATTCATACCTCAAAAGTTGAAGTGAAATAACCTGAACAATAATAAACTGTGGTATAATGCGGGAAAATCAATAAATTACAAAAATGTCACGTTCGGAAATTTTATTGGGTGGTCATCCCGTTTGACTGTGCGAAGTAAAATTAAAACAACCAAATGGTTGGGTTGATCTGCACTGTGCAACCGATTCTCTCACCTTTCTTCCTCCAGCTATGCTTGTGACACCCTTTGTGAATCTGCGAAACACTAGTGGCAGGCCACGCGAAAATGAGAATGCGCGCAGCCAAGTTTAGGCCATCATCTCCTTCATCCATCACCTCCTTCATCCATCATCCCGGCGATAACTCCGCCCGTTCAATATCCAACACCAGTCCCCAGGCCGGAAAGAATAAGGCACGAGATTTCAAGTTCAAGGGCAAAGCTAAAGCCAATGGCACTGATTTTTGGAATTGTCGAGTAGAACGAAAATAAATAATCGAAGGCGATCAGTCAGATTCGACACACACGTGACACAGTTTGGGTCGCGCTCGTGTGTCGCGCTTCGCAGCTCGAGCGCGCCCAAGATGAGTCTCGCGAGCGCGACAGGCTAGCCGCTTGCGACAAAAGTTGTCTTTTTTTTACGAATTCTGTGACGTCATGTTTTGGAAGAATGTCCCAACAGTCATTCGCGTACAAGTACTAGCCCTGAACGTCGGGCGAGGTTAGTACTTGGATGGGTGACCATGGTGACCGCCTGGGAATACCTCGTGCTGTAGACTTCTCTTTTTCTTTTTTTCTTCTTCGCTGCACCGCACTGCGCCATGCCAGTGGCACTGCACTGACGTATCACTCAAGTCAGAACAGGGAGTTTCCCTCGTAGATCTACCGAGAAGTTTTCGAGCGAAATTTGCTTTTTGCGACTGCATTAAAATTTTGCATGTGGCGATGATGTGCATGCATGTCAACTATTTTTGTTGTATTTAAACCAAACACAAAAGGAGCTGCTGGAGGGTGATGGAAAGCGATTGGGAATTGTGCGATATCCTATCCTGGCCCTCCGTTGTTGATAAAGCGCTCTGTAGCTGTAGACATTCTTATTGTTTGCACTGAACATTATTCTGGCTGGCTGAAATTGGATGTTCGAATATATCTAGCTCTACTGAGAAAACAATCATCATGGCTGGGATTGCAAGTCGAGTTGCAGTTATTACTGGTAAGCTGGAGTAAGCTGGAGTAAGCTGGAGTAAGTTGGAGTAAGCTGGAGTACACAGGGCGAAATAATTATGAAGCAGGGCTGTGAATACAGGCTGTGAATACAGGCCGTGAAGCAAGGCAATGAAACAGGGGGGTAAAGCAGAGCTGGGAAAGCAGGACTGTGTGAGCAGGGCCATGAAGCAGGACTATAAAACAGGACTGCGAAGCACAAGGTATTTACTGTGAGATACACACGTCTATTGAGTCCTTGGGGTTGGCGGCACCCTTACTTGCTTAGCGCGTACACTCACTGTAACGCTGTAAAAATGGACCAGCATGCATCCAGCAGTGCTCACGGCCAGCGTCCCGTGGCCGCTTGACTTTCCAATGTAGTTCAATGTCGACAACAGTAGATTAGAGTCATGTACACATACTAATCACGATATGGCATTGTAGTGGATCACTGGTACTTCGCACGAGCAGTCACCACTACCAAGTCTGCGGGACGGATCATCTGTTGCCACGGACCATCACTGAAGCACCGCCGTGTGCAGGACAGCATCCAGTTTGGCGGCGGAGCTGTCCCATGATGCGGCTAGTAGCATCCCCAGACGTCGCAGACAGCATGCAGATGAGATGCATGGTGCACTGCATCGCTTTAACGCTCTTAGTGCCGACCAAACACGAAAAATAAAGGCGAGAAAGTGGCACGCTCGGCTTCGCGAATTCTCTCGTCATGTCCTGCTCATGAAGCTTGTGGGTGGCAGACAGGTTTGGGGGTTAGTAAGAGGTACAGCACGATGATATGCCTGATGTCAAAAAATGCCTTGACTGTCTGCACGCCATTCAAACGTCCACTTAGCGTGACAGCAGCGTAGGCTAGAGCAGGCCTCTGAGACTTTTCGTGCCGTGTCGCCAAACCTATAAAGTATGAAACCATACTTTCTGCACACGGAAAATATAGTGCTGGGCGCTGCACCGCTCTGCTGGGTGAAAGGTAGCAATCCTCCGATCCTGGCTGTGTGCGATTGTATGCAAAGTGCACTGTATAGCTGTATATTATATATACATAGGTAGCAACAATGGCTGCCAGGCATACACTGCTCTGTGCGTAGCTTTTCCCTGGTCCCTGGTTAGTCCCTGGTCTGTTACCATTATTGGTAGACGACCTGTGCACATATGAATCTTGCAAAGCAGTCATGGCGTGCACAATGACTCAAGCAGAGTTTTTGTTTGATGTGAATGATTTCTCCAGGTGCAGCCAGTGGTATTGGGAAAGCCACGCTGAATATCCTGCTGGATGAGGGCATGCACATTGCTGCCGTGGATCGGATCGGTGGCTCTCTGCTCGAGATGAACATGCCCAAAGACCGCTGCCTGGCAGTGGAGTGTGACGTCAGCAAGGCTGGTGAAGTAAAGAAGTTGGTGGAAGAGATTTCACAATGGCGTCCAGACTCCAGTGTATCAGCTCTAATTAACGCCGCCGGCATTACACGTGATAACTGGCTGCTGAAGATGACTGAGGCGGAGTTTGATGAAGTGATCAACGTCAACTTGAAGGTCTGTTGTTGTTGGAATGTATTTTGTGTATTTTTTTGTATAGGGGTGTGCGTGAATATGGTTCTTGATAATTTGGTGTGTGTGTGTGTGTGTGTGTGTGTGTGTGTGTGAGAGAGAGAGAGAGAGAGAGAGAGAGAGAGAGAGAGAGAGAGAGAGAGAGAGAGAGAGAGAGAGAGAGGAGGGAGGGAGGGAGGGAGGGAGGGAGGGAGGGAGGGAGGGAGGGAGAGAGAGAGAGAGAGAGAGAGTGAAGCCAGTGCATGCCGGAGTATGTGGTGTGGTGTGTGTGTGTCGAAAAATGAAGAAAGAATGTAAAAATGAAAAATAGGGATTCACTGGCCAGAAAAAGCCGCTTCAATCGGCTCTGTGGTGTAGACCAGGCTAAAATTAGTGGCGGTCAATTCATCAGCCTTGCAAGCTGTTGAATGGTGTAATCCCAGCACAAGTTACTATGTCTAACATAGCTGTTCGCTATCATCGCTTCTGCAATGGGCAGGTCTGAGGTGTGTGTGTGTGTGTGTGTGTGTGTGTGTGCGCGCGCGTGTGTGTGTGGGCTTACCTAGCCAAGAAACTTGGATTGTATGGTTTTTCTTTGTCTACTAGGGAACCTTCCTAATGTCGCAGGCGTTTGCGGATGTCATGCAGAAAGGCGGTGCAGGTGGCAGCATCGTTAACTTATCCAGCATATCTGGCAAGGTTAGTTCAATGGTATGGTACCGTCTGTTCATGCCATGTGGCAGCTGTGCGGAATATGCGCTCAACAACATGCGAATGCCTGTCTGAACACTTGCTTTCAGCTCTAGTGTGCACGCCCTCGAGGATTGGATTCTTTTGGCAGAGATTTTGTATGTGTGTTTGCTTGCAGGTGGGCAATTTGGGACAATCAAACTATGCCGCAAGTAAGGCTGGTGTTGTTGGCGTGACAAAGACTGCAGCAAAAGAACTTGCGAGGTGAGCATAACTGTGGTGCTGTTATTAAAGATGGCCAGATAAATGGCCGAAGGCATGTTCATTGTTCTAAAATTCCTTTTGTTTGATAGCGTAATGAAGAAGCTGGGCAACGTGATTCCAAAGTGTGGAAACCCCATACTGGTGTACATGTAGCTTATAAGCTGACAACCTTTGTGAACCTCTCTTCGAGTCTCTCATTTCCATGTGATTGATCACTTTTTGCTGATTACCAAGCATAGGAGATACCGTATTTCAACTATTATAAGTTGTCTCTTTATGGGTTGGTTCACATAAGCCAAATCGAGGCCGCAACAAGACATCGGCGGTGAGCCAGCTCCCGATCCGTTGCGCATACGGTTCGAGTACCGAATCTACTACAAAGTAGTACAGAATGCGCCCAAATGCTACGATACGTTTGCCAATTGAAGCTTGAATTCTTTGTTTTTTCAGTATTTCAAGGTCTTTCGGTTATGGCCACTCGGTGCTACCTTTTACTGGAGATCATGATACTACTTCTACACCTTTTATTGCAGTCTAGTAAGCGGTGGTGTCGAAATTATGCGTGCAAACATTGATGAAGTCACACGAACTTGTCTATGTATCCTTCGTATTTTTCATTTATTATTTCAATTGTATTTGTCAAGTTGCACAACAGTCAAGAAGATCATCCGAGAAGGACAGGTTGGTATGCTGACTTAATTTGCCACCTTGAAACGACTACAAGAATGGCGAACGGACCTCATCTTTAGCTTCAATTTAGGAAAATTTAGGATGAGTCTTGGTTTGAAATTTTCACAAAGTCTAGCTCCCGGCACCGGCGATCACCGGTGCGAACAGTTCACAAACCACTTTTGGTCAAAATTCTATGGGATCGGCGCCGGGGCAGATCGCAAGAGTTGGGCACTGTCCAACTTTGCCGGCGGTCCCTTGCGACATTTTACCGTATGATTTTGTTACGACTGCACTGGTTCACATAATCGCAATGCGCCGGGAGAGGTTGCAAGAGGCCCACTCCCGGTGACTCCCGGCACGTACCGGCGATATGTGAACCAACCCTATGACCTAACAACCGAAGTAAATAAGGGGCAGTCGACTTACAACCGGGTTTACCCCAGAAAATTGAGGCCCTAAGTACAGGAGGTTCGACTATAACAGGTAAAATATGGTATTACTGCAAATGTCGTCTGCAAACATGTATGCGTTCGTGTTCAATGAAGTATTATCTTCTTTCACTGTTTGCTCCAAAGGCATGGTATTCGGTGCAACGCAGTCATGCCGGGATTCATTGAAACGCCGATGACGAAGGGTGTACCTGACCAAGTCCTTGCCAAGGTAGGGAAAGCTGCAGTGACATCAGCACTGTGGCCCAGGTACTAGGTGGCCTTCAAAGCAGCCAGCTCCCGTCCACACCACCGCTCTACACGCCGATTAACAACCCACACTAGTGTACAATACCGGGTTTTGATGACAGAATTAGCAGGATTATCTGATTCCCCGTAACGCCATGAACCAGTCCACCTATACCGCTGGACATTGACTGCTAGCCGGCTGCGTGTTTTGGCTTCAATGATCACTTTACAGCCTAGTCTTGCGATCCAGCAGAATGGACCACGCAAAGCAGTGTAGTGAAGGCAGAACATTGCAAGTCCAATGTAGGCTTTCCTTGGTTTCTTTTTCTGACTGTGCCTGTTTTTGGGCGAGTTGTATTTGTGTTACTTACTCTTGCGCTTCTCACAGATCGTACCGCAAATTCCAATGAAGCGCATGGGATTGGCTGAGGGTATGTCCACCATCCAGCTTAATAACTTACTAGTACTTCAAGTAATTTACCGGTATATGCAGTGTCCCGTAGCGGCAAGGGAAATGCTGCTGCTGCTGCAGACCAGCAAATCTGGCCATTCACTCGAGAACTGCCCACAGTGTTGTAATTTAAATCAATTTCAATTTCACCGCCCCCTTTCAAAATCGATTGTGGTGGTACAATGCCTGGTTGGACCTACAGTTATGGTCATTGGAATCCGACCCAAAGTGCAAAACTGGCGGCTTGAACCAGTTCCGTTTACATCACTGTACTTCATGTGTACGTCCAGCCGCATTCGTGCTACTTCGTCAAGGGTCGTGCAAGTTGAGGGCGCCAAATATGCACTTTGGGTGGACTTCGCCGACCACAACTGTAGCACAGCCGCCTAATTTCCCTCTACAAGTCTACACGATGGAATGCATGCATGTAGCGGCTGAAGGGTAACCCAATGCATTGGTTCAGTGCAGTAGTTGAGCAAATAATGAAAATAGATCCGCATTTGTACCGGCATGCAATACTCCATCTTCATGTTTGAAACGTGCACATCTAGCAACTACCGTATAGGCGCGAATAGAAGCCCCTGGGGCTCTATTTTCCAGAAGACACATTGAGGGGGGGGGGGGGGGTATATTTGAGAGAGGGCTTTATTCGAGAGGGGGCTTTATTTTTTTAAAATAGAAACATCAATTGCTTCACCCTATTCCTGCTGATTAGTACAGTCATGCAGTGACTGCACTCGATTTGTTGTGCGGTAGGTACCCTTGCATGCCTGTAGTGTGTGTGCAGTAAGTACACCCTATTGCACGTGCATACTGTACACGGTTCATGTACTGCATAGTACAGACTTTGCGTGCCCCGGGCTTTTATACGAGACAGGGCTTTATTATTTCGATTCCCTCTGACACACGGGCTCTATTTGGGAGGGGGCTTTATTCGAAGGGGGGCTTGTATTCGAACGCGTACGGTATCTAGAAGCTGACCAGCCCCCCCCCCCCCCCCCCCCCCTCTTTGTGTCAGACTGGCTACAATCCTGGTACCAGTGGCATGGTGGAAGTTTGAACTACCGGTAAGCTTGCACAGCTTCACTGTATCAAGGACTGCTTCACTCGGGGTGCTAAACGTGTGCCAGGCGTCGGGGTTTACTGGCCAGTATTGCAGTACCGAGTCATAAACCGTCTCCATACGTAAATATTGGTGTTGACTTTAGGTGTAGATGGATAAGCTCCCTTCTACTTTGGTAGGCTACATCTAATCTAGGACTGGTTATAGTATACAGATCCTGTTGTAGTTAATTATTTACTTGCAATGCAGGGCCTGGTTTCCTGAGAACCGAAGAAGTTACATGCTATGCCCGGCTCTGATTTAAACTAGCCGTAGCTTTAAGAGCTAAGCAACTAATGTGCGTGTGTTTTGCTGTGTGTACTCTCTTCTCTGTGTGCCTGTTTTGCCCTACCAACTTGTCCACTGTCGGGGATGAGTAGAAGTGGCTCACTGCATAGCGTTCCTGGCGTCTGAAAGAAGCTCCTACATTACAGGAACCTGCATTGAAGTGACTGGTATGTTTCAGATCCAGATGTCTGTGCACGTGTGCGCGCAGATGTGTGTGTGTGTGTGTGTGTGAGTGTAAAAAGTAGGGATTCACTGGCCAGAAAAAGCCACTTCATAGCTGTGTGGTGTAGACCAGGCTGAATAGTGGCGGCCAATTCTTCAGCTTTGCAAGCTGTTGAATGGTGCAATCCCAGCACAAGCTGCTATGGCTTCTGCTGTAGCATCGCTATCATCGCCTCCGGCGATGGGCGTCCAATGGTGTGTGTGTGTGTACATGTTATGTTGCCAATGTGTGTACATGCACTGTAAACCCTGTGTTTACCAGACCCTGCATGAAGTGGAATCCTGTCCGCACCTGACAAAATTTTCATGCACAGACGGCATGTCATAGAAAACTCCCCGCAACAAGCGGAAAGTTAACAGAGTTCGAATTATCCAGCGGGCGCACTTTGTACTTCGAATCACTCATTTGAATTTGACTTGCGGGGACCTGCAGAAGATGGGTACGACGAACCGTTTACCAACTGTGCCATATTTGAATGAGATGGGGTCTACGAGTACATGCACTTCATTCACAGGTACTAGGTTGTTGTATTTCCACATTTGCTACCCCGAGCACCAATTGTCCGACTCATGGTGATCGGGATGCCGGGGCTGTAGTGTGTGTATGTGTGTATGTGATAGCTGACTATGGGCTCCTGTCCGTTTGTCATCTTTTCCTGCTAGGTGGGCTGTACATGTGAAAATGCGGGAGCTGCACTTGAGGAGAAGCATATAATTGCAAGCTACACTGACATCACTTGGTGCGCACAGCTTTGCTATGTGCCTGGCATCCTGCTCGATAACCACAGGATGTGCATGATAATCCCTTCTTACAACAACAAAATACTCTTTGACTTGCTTGTTCATAAAACAGCTCACTGGTTGGGCTTGTCTAGATCTTTTACAGTAACCGTATTTGAAATTTGTAACCCCTAGCATTGTTTTCACCGTTATCTTTCTTTCTTGGTTCCCTTGAGAAATCTGCCCATTTATCTCCGCAATAAATTATCAATGATTTATAACAATGTTGACAAGAGAACCCTTTGTTTTTCCTCTTCTCTTCTTTCATGTACTTCAAAATAGTGCCAGAACCTGTGTTGCTACAGTACACTCGTAGGCTTAGTTCTTCTCAACTGTCCTTGATCTTAGTTGGCTGTCTCCGCAATAATTCTAATGTAACAGACACACTGTCTGCTCCAGGCAGAATGAGATCAGTCTGGGTCTGTGTCGGTGTGACCCAAGATATCATAATACCAACAGTTGAACCCAGGAGAGGACATGCACAGTATGCGTAAGCTAGGGCGATGATTGCTTCACAACTCCTGGAAAAACTTCCGAGTGGAAATCCCGGCAACCCCAGTATGTGCCAACTTGTTCAATTTTCTTGAAGATGCCTTTAAAGGACCACACCAGGTAGCATAATAATTTATGTGTAGGGCTCCCTGGGCACCACCTATTCCATCATCGGATCGGCAAGCTCTTCAAACAGAACACATATCGAACTTGCAGATGTGCAGAATGCCGGTACATTGATGGTGCCAGATGGCGGGGTAAAATGGAAGGCTGGGTGGACCCAAACTCGAAATTAAACATAGCCAATAAGAACCTGCACGGCAAAGATCAGAGCATTCATACCGGCCCAATTCTAAAGATACCTATACAACTGGGCTGAGCCAGGCTTTCACTTGCTCCTGGATATCGGATTTCATGTTGCGATACGGTCGCCACAAGGGAACAGAAGCTAAGCCAGCACACACACACACACACACACACACACACACACTGTGACACACACATGATGGGCACAAACAATGCCAACACACACGACAGACAATCATGTACAATGCTGCTCAATGCAATCCAGTCGCGTTACTCAGGTACGCGCCAGGCGTTGCGCAGCTCTAGATCTGCGAACACTGGGCTGCGACATGGTGCAAGGCGCAAACTTGAGTGACTGGACTGGATTTCAATGAGCAGTACATGCACACATTTCGCTCCCCATCCACCCCCATCTCGACACTGGTGTACACCTGCACACAGTATGTCTGTCCGTCTATGGTATCTGCCAGCACGCCTGTTGCTCATGGATGAGATGTTTAAAAAGCAAGAGAGCATGAGAAAGTGTCTACTGCATGGACTTCAGTACAAGCAGTTTGGAGAGATTTGAGCTGGCAACATCCTTCAGCTGCTTTCCATACGAGCTAAGCTGTTGACTGATAATCAGACCATCGAGACGCTGCGGTGCTTGCATGGGCTTGAAGATCTTGTCAAGGTCTTCATCTGGCAGAGGTGCCTCGCCACGCTGTTGGCGTGCGGCGTTCTCCTGTTGCCGGCGCATCTTGTACGCTGAGATCTGTTGCTGCTGGCGCTGCTGCTGCTTGAGGAATTGGCTGTAGCGGTTGATATCCTGTGAAGCGTCATCGACTGTGTCCATCATTAGACGCATGCAAGTTTCCAGTTGCGAGCCGCCACCAACTGTGAGGAACTCATGTGGAGGCTCAACTGCGCCAGATGACGACAGCTCCAAGAGAAGGGAGTTGGCAAGAGTGGAACGATGTAGCTCCAGTGGTACCTGTTCGAACATTGATGACCAAGACAGCTTGTGGTCGTGAAGGCTCTTCTCAGTGAAGGTACCCTCATTCATCACCTCCATAGCCTTACTGCTAAGACGGTAAGCCTCCAAGCTCAAACGGCCCTGCAATGTCTCCATTGGGTTGTACAACAGCAGGATAGAGTGCTCGTGCGAGAGACTGCGCTGATACTGATACTGACTTTCCATGATCATACGGCTGAACGGCGAGCGTTCCAGTGAGGAGATATACCAGCCGACCTGAACGTGATCTGAGTTGACTTCGCGGACGAGCCGAAGCATCTGCTCGGAGTACTCCATCGTCTCATCTGATTCGTCTTCCTCTGATTCCATCGGTGCGGCGAAACAATCAGTAACTTCCAAAACTGATCCATTGATCATGCCTTGCAAAACACCGCTGCAAATGTCCATGGGAGCTTCGTTGGAGTATCCATGGCAGTGTCTAAGGATTCTAAGCAACACCAGGCCGTCCACTCGAACAGAAGTAGTGGCCGACGCCATGGCTAAACTTTAAAAAATACTCTGCCGAAAGCAGAACAACACAAAGAAAGTTTTGCCTCTCTTGCTTTTTTACCAACCTACAAGCACATTATGCGAAAAATGGCAAAAAACCAGCCGTCGCCATTTTGTCGAAAGTTGCCATGGTAGTATGATGGTACTCAATCGTGCACGCGTGGAGTGCGTGCATGATGAGCTCATTCCCATTAATCCCAAGTCACGTTACGTCACGTGTCAATGCGGCGTCGCGTCATTGTGCAGTCCATGGAGTCGTAAAATACCGGTATTTTACGACTCCATGGTGCAGTCCAAAAAAAAGTGTGAGTGGTTGGTTGCGGTTCACATGCCATGGACCGGTTCAGTCAAAAAGCAAAAGATCAGATCGATCGCGTACACCAGGTAGAGGGGACGGTTTCAAATTAGACAAATAGGACACCGGTTGCAAACCGGAACGGACTCAATATTCACTTTCTCTCTTGTATTTTTGATTAGAAAACATATGTCACAGTGAGACTACGATGTGTTATACTCCGAGCCAAAATTTCATGGCTCTGCGATGACCAGAAGCGCCATATCAAGCAGGTGAGTTTTTGACGTGTTGCTTCGCACTGCGACTTGAGTTTTACGACTTTCGAAAAATCAACTTCTTGTCGCAGGTAAACAGCGGCTCGCCTCTCGCCAATAAAGCACCGCATACCAATCAAAACTAATGGAAGCACACACACGGCTTATTGTTACTCTGTACTGGCCGTCGTGGAGCGATAGCAATTACCTAATTTCAGACTCAGAGTGAATTTGACGGGCACTCTAAAACGTGTCCGGTTTGGAGCCACCTCTGATTTGAACTTTTTTGAAGCGAAAAATTGGGCAACTTGGAGGCAATGGGTCAACACAAAGGAGTGGCTCAGTTCGATTGACTCTGGCCCCAGAGCAAACTTCAACATGCCAGTTTCCTTCCACAAACATATTTCGAGTGAAAAATCAACGCTGATGATCGGTTTGGGTCTATACAAATTTGGCTGTCAAAACGTCCCGGTATCGAGCCGTCTCCTCTACAGCTAGCTGTATACTCGTAGTCGTACACGGTCGGCACAGTACAGTACAGACTACTATGACTAGTACAGTTCAGCCTGCATGGATTGCATTATTGGCGCAATGAGTGCACGTGCGTACCTGGTCGAGCTTTCATCAGCTATGCCATGCCATGACCCATGTGAACGTGTTTTGGAGAGAGACTTGAGTCTGAAATGACTATGTTCCCGAGCTGAGACCATTGGAGCTCCGGAGACAGAGTGTGCTCCAGGATCAGTTCACGTTCACGTCAGTGTCGTCTGAACAGCCTCCTGCAAGAACGCGTCATTTCCAACTCCATCTAATTATTGTTATCTGACCAGAGACGTGGACGTACATTAGTCACTTTTGTTAACTACTGGAAGCAGTTTGTCAACCTCATGCTCATCCCCTCTTCTGTCAGAGATTGGTCAATGCAAGTACAGTAATTATTGATTGCGAAATCAGATTACTCAGGTAAAACCGAGTGCAAGTGATCATCAGGTTTTAGTCTGGGCGTGCGTCCCAACTGTACCGGCCGTATACTTCGCATGATCACTTCTTCTCCGGCCTGGCACTTTAATGTACTTGTCAAGAAGTAGTTGTTAGCTGCAGAATACCACTATTTTGGATCGTCAGCTGCCTGCTAGAATGTATGTTGTTTCGTTCTGTTTCCTGCTGGCAGTGGACTGCCTAGCTGTAGTATGCACGTGGATTACAGCAGACAAGCTAGACTCCGATTATTTCGTTGACCACATCACACATTTTAAGTTCCGCACTGGGATCTTGGATGCAGTTGTGTTGGCCCTGGTGCGGATGGCGGTATGCTGCGCATGTGCCATCAGCATTGAGAAGCTCGTGAAGCTATCCGGACGTGATATGCACAACAAGGAACACCAAGACAACATAACCGTTCGCCGCCGCGTGACGGGGCTCGTGCTGGGAGCGTGCGCGCTGTTCTTCGTCGTCAAGCTAGTGATGGTGATACTGAACCAGGTGGATCGGCACGTTCCAGAGCACGACAAAATGGACTTGTTCTATCTGATCGGACTCAGTGTCACTGCTGGTCTCTGCTTTCTGGAAATTGCAGTCTTTGCCTACGGCTGGCGAGCAATGCACAGATTGCGCAATCGAGTGATCCTGGAAGCCAGCGAAGATGAGTCTCGTGAAGGCAATGATGCTGAAGGTAGCGATGGTAAGGACAGTAAGAAGAAGAAAGTCGATTGGAAGCGAATGGGATCACTTATGCGCCGGGTAAGTCCTCAGATCATGGGTTGTCCTGAGATGTCCTGGACATAGTATGCAGTGTTCTGTGTGTGTGTGTGTGTGTGTGTGTGTGTGTGTGTGTGTGTGTGTGTGTGTGTGTGTGTGTGTGTGTGTGTGTGTGTGTGTGTGTGTGTGTGTGTGCGTATGGTGTGCAGTCCTAACTTAAACAAGAGGTACAAGCTTCAGTCTGCACTAAGCAATGTGAATAGACTCGGCTGGTAGTTGAGCTGCAAATCACTAGCTTGCACATTATAACTGAAAATGTTAGGGCTGATTGCTGCTTCATCCGCTTCACATCTACCACTACCTACCACTATCTCTGTGCCTCTGTTTCATGGTCTCAACTTGCTACAACTGCATACCTTGTGTTTGCTGGGTGACTGCAGGAACTCGAACTACTCCTTCCAGGCTGTTTCTTTCTTCTACTCTCCACGGCCAGCACAACACTGGCACCGCGTTTCTTCGGCGAGGTCGTTGATGCTACTAGTGCTACCAATCATGCGCAAGGTATAATACGCTGCACACACACGCACGCGCACACACAAACACACACACACAAACACGCACACAGCACACACGCACACAGCACACACACACACACACAGCACACACACACAGCACACACACACACACACACACATACACACACACACACACACATATAGTAGCTTTCCTAGGTGCTGTTGCCTTGCTAGTTTTTGAGAAGATTCGGTGGTGTCCTAAAATAACCTTTTGCTGATGAGTTCATACAGCACTCTGTGGTGTGTCTCTATGATGGCCACAGACTAACATGCTTCATTGGCCATGCAATGAGATGGCGTACATCAGTGGAGGATGACAGTAGAGAGTGATCACAACAATGACATGAAAGAGTCTTGCAAGTACTTCGAAATACTTCGAAGTGAATTGTGACTATTGTCTTTGAACCGACAAGCTCTTTCTTGTTACGTTCCTCCATCGACATCAGGCGTGCTGCAACTGGTGTGCACGCTACAGTAGTGTGATTGCACTTTCCACTGAGTCTGTTACACTAGAATATTGCTCCATGGACCATAGACAGGTCCATGTATGTACGCCTCACATTTGCCTGTCTAACCGCCTGCCCGCGCTGCAGTATACCAGGAGAACATATTATGCTTACACAAGTATTTCCACTGTTTTGCAGCACATGTGAACAAGAAGATCTTGAGTTTGACCGTAGTCTTCATGGTGGGTGCAGTTGCTGCAATGTTCCGTAGCTACTTGTTTACTTTGGCTGGCCAGAGGTTGGTGGCTCGAATTCGCGTCGATGTAAGTGCGGCACCATGTTGTGTCTGCTTCTCTTTCTTTCTGTCTATCTGTCTGTCTGCTTCTGTGTGTGTGTGTGTGTGTGTGTGTGTGTGTGTGTCTCTCTCTCTCTCTCTCTCTCTCTCTCTCTCTCTCTCTCTCTCTCTCTCTCTCTCTCTCTCTCTCTCTCTCTCTCTCTCTCTCTCTCTTTCCGTCTCTCTCTCTCTCTCTCTCTCCGTCTCTCTCTCTCTCTCTCTCTCTCTCTCTCTCTCTCTCTCTTTCCGTCTCTCTCTCTCTCTCTCTCCGTCTCTCTCTCTCTCTCTCTCTCTCTCTCTCTCTTTCGTCAGTATGATTTTGGCTCGTGGATGTGATCTGGCTGCCCTATCGATCCTTTTCAACTGTTTAATGATAGCATGATTGTACACATCGGACATCATGTCATGTACATTATCATGTGATGAACCTGGGTTTTGTTTGTGTGATGCTTGCTGTTGTATTCATGGCTGTGCTGCATAGCTGTACAAGGCAATCATTGACCAGGAAGTGGCTTACTTTGATCTGAACCGGTAAGTGTGCGTTTGCTCAGGCATGTTCAGTTTTTTAACCGACAGTTTGACAAAGAGGAAGCGCTCACTCCGAATCGTAGGGTTAAGGTTGTGCTTGATAATGCCATGGTATGAGGTGGAATCATGATCAGTTGTGTGGACTTTATCTGTGCGGTTTCATGATCAGTTGTGTGGACTGTATCTGTGTGGTGTCATGATCAGTTGTGTGGACTGTATCTGTGTATGTTGGTATGCAGAACTGGAGATCTTACTAATCGTTTGTCATCCGACACGCAAGTGTTGCAGAACGCCCTTACAGTAAGTGTTGCCTTCTTTCCTGGAGTTGCTGAGCAATGTAAGGCGTAATGTACGTTTAGGGAGATCGTATGAGTAGCTGCTTCTGAGTGTTCCTTTTGCAGCACTGTTGCTAGTGAGAAACACAATCCCTGATTTTTCATGTCTGGTTGCTGCATTTGCACCTTGGACAGTACCGGTGACGGTGTGTTGTGTTGTGCATGTGTGTGTGTGACTTCGCACTTTAGTTTTCCTCATACACAGCATCAGGAGATGATCCTAGTTCGTAAGCTGGTTGGGGGAGGCATGAGGGAATCAAGCCCTACCAAAGTGTATAATTGCTTTGAGTGCTGCATTGTTTTAATAGGTTTTTCAATCTGTAGCAAGTAAACAATGCACCTGCTGTACCCTCGGATGGTACTAGCTGGGGGATTTCCCTTTGCTGTGATCACTCAATCACTCCTTGCCCAGCCTGGTGTTTATGTGCGCGTTGGACAATGGCTCAGTGAGTGGCTGAGTGGTCGGACCGGAAGACAAGTGCCGAAATCGGAATTACTCATAGACGACTTCTTTCATTCTTGCTTCCTGTCCAGGTCAACATCTCCATGTTGATACGCAACTGCCTTAACGTCATGGCCTCCATGGGCTTCATGATGGCGCTCAGTTGGAAGCTGACACTGGTGCTGTTGTCGATTGTGCCTGTTATCGCTATTGGTGCTGTTCAGTATGGTAAGCCTGCAGATACCGGTCCACCACATCTTGTACGTTTGTCCTGCAGCGTTTGTGTGTAAGAGTACGTAGTCGTGAGTGATGGTGGAGAGACAGAGAGAGTCAGACAGACAGACAGAGAGACAGACAGACAGACAGACAGACAGACAGACAGACAGACAGAGGCAGACTTAGGCAGACAGAGAGAGGAGAGGGAGCGAGAGGCTTCTAAAGGTTAACCCTGTCGTGTAAATATAATTGGGTGCTTCAGCTTCACATTGTATTTAGCTGTTAACGTGTTGAATTTGATTGTCTTCATGTGCAGGTATTGTCTTGAAATCTGTACGCAAGAGTTTCCAGGAAGAGCTGGGCAATGCGTCAACGGCCGCTGAAGAAACAATCAGCAGCATCCGCACAGTGCGATCGTTTTCCAACGAAGACAGATCCAAAGACGATTATGCCAAGCATATTGATAAGAGCTATATGTATGGCAAGAAACTAGCAAGAGCCATTGGTATGTCCTTGTCCAAGTTAGTCCTAAATCCTTACCCGCATCTCTCCCGTTGCCTGGAATATACTAGTACTGATGACAGCTCGCTCTATCGTTTTACTGTCACCTTCCTGTGCTTTGTGAGCCGCTGTGACTTTCTGCATTCCACACTGTACATACAGACTTGTCCAGGTCTCTTCTTCTCTTCTAATGGCTGAGTGGTTGAACTGCTTGTACCTGTTTCTGTCTCATTGGGTCATTTTTGTCTGTGTGTATGCTGGACAGCTTCTTTCACTGGAGTCGTGGCAGTCATATCTCAGGTGAGCTGAATACTGTAAAACTCAGGCTAAAAAATCTTGTAGGACGCATCACGCAGCTTCATAAGTAAAGTTTGGCTTGTGAGCAACACTGGCTCACACTCAATCACTGCTTTTCACAAATTCATTTCAGAAAACAATTCAATTCAACGTTTCGGTCATAAAAATAACCATCATCAGGGATTGTAAAAGCCCGTATTAATACCCACCCAGTATAACGCCCGCTGCCCATGTGCACGCCCAGATGTCAACACTCTTGTCCCATTTTTCTAGCCCACCTCCGTGTAAACGCCCGCCGGCGACATCACGGGCCCAGTACACACAGTGCAGTGCATGCACAGCTCGACGTGTATGTACGGTACCGTAGTAAAACTTAGTGTACAGTACACCATGGTACACTGTGCTTACCTTATAACTGTTATGTACATACGGCAGTACGGCATGATGTGAAAATATTAAATCTTACTTCACTTATCCGAAATAACGCCCGGGCTCACTTTTAGCGCCCGGGTCCGAATTGACGCCCACGTCCTGGCCCTTCACTAATGTTTCCGCCCACGGCCTTATTACGGGCCTTTACAGTAGGTACATGTAGTCGTCTGCTTTGAATGCTACTCCTGTAGCCGGGCTTTGCAAGCATGTACCAATGCTGGGGAGTTCTGGGTAGTGTGATGTAGAACCAGTAGTACGGTTCTATCCAGTGTCCTTCCTAAGCTGGCTGTGTTTCTAACGCACACCTGTATAGGGGATGTATGCTCCCTTTCATTTGTCTTGGTAGCGGGGAATACGCAAGTATGGTCTTAAGAGGTTGCTGCTCTTTTCGTCAATTTTAGGATGCGAAGAAAAGAAACTGTCTGACACCTATCAAAACGCGTTGCTCAGTATCAAGCTATAAGTTATTTCTCTCAACGAATCTTCATCTTCAGTGGTGCAAGTCTTTTCTGTTTTCCCTGATCATGATTTGCTTGTTGTCATGTTTTGTATGTGTACAGGGAGCCATTGCCCTGGTTCTGTGGTATGGTGCCAAGCTGGTGGTTGATGGACACATCACCAAGGGAATTCTGTTCTGTAAGCGCAACGGGATTTCTCCTTGTGTGTGTGTGTGTGCGTGTGCGTGCATGCATGCTCATGTGTGCAAGCATGTGTGTTCGTGTGCGTGTATGCGTCTGTGACATCAGTATTTTGCACTGTTCGGCGAGACCAAAAAATAGAGATTCCCAGGCCCTCCCGCACCAAAATCGAGCCGGAGACAATTTACAATGTACCAGCTCTTTGTCTCTGTGGTCCAGTGTCCTTGGAGAGCAAGAGCTCATTTTGTGATTGGATTTGCACTGAAGAGGATCAGTCCTGTGTCTTTTTTTCACCTGCAGCATTCATGCTGTATACGATCACCATTGCCGCCGCGTTTGCAACTATCACCAGCTTGTACGGCGACTTTATGCAGGTTAGTTTCGGATTGTTGTGTTTGTGTCCTCTGCCGTTGGGGGCGGGTTGCTTTGTTAGTGTATGTAGTGGTTTCCATGTTTGTCTGAATGATTGTGCTTGACTGGGCACTGGGTACTTCCTAAGCCAAAGCTCTGTGTTGCGAAAGCACACCTCGGCCAGGGCAGAGCTGTTTACATGCTGGACGATGTGTCCTTTGCAGACTGCATCTCCCAACACCATTATTCAAGCAGAGCATGTAACAGGGACATTGTCACATCACTATCTCAGTGACTGTGCAGTCTTTGTGCTTTTATCTTCATAGTATGCTGGTCTACCTGCTGGTATTATGGTTGTCTGTTTTCAGGCTGTTGGCGCCTCTACCCGCATTTTCGAGCTCATGGACCGGCAGCCGGAAATGAACTGCAAGGGTGGTGTCTCCAAGGATACCCTGCAGGGCCGTAAGTTGAACATTTTTGGCAGAGTTGGCGATTGTACTCTTGGCTTGATGAATGCTGGTCACTGTGTAGACCGGTGGCTGTTTCGGACTCACCATTGCCGAGGGTCTCACGTGTGAAGCGTTCCTTTGCTGTGTCGATGTGGAAGCGCAGCACATAGTTTAGCCAGAGCTGCAGAGTTGTGTGGTTTACATTAGTACGTGATTGACACGCTGCTGATGCTGATTTCTCCGTGCTCTGTGTTTGCGTTTGCGATGCTGCGTTGTCAGGTATTGTCTTTGAGGATGTTCACTTCACGTACCCGTCGCGCCCAGAGACGGAGGTGCTGAAGGTAAGTACTCATGCTGGTGCACACTGCGCAGCGAGGTGTTCCTTCTTCGCCGCGCGCTGGCAAGGAGAAGCAGGGATGTTTGCTAAGGCGGCTAGAGGCGCTGCCTGTCACGGCGTTGTCACATTCCAGTGTGGCGTGTGTCACCGGTATGGGCATTCAACTTAAATTGTTTAGTGCATCGCGCTAAGCCGCTTTTAAAGACAAGCGTTACTAGAAAGCATGTCATCGAAGGTTGTGAGTGTTTTGGAGACTTTATAATTTTCATGTTGAATTGCCTTTTGTAAGATGCTCTTCTGCTTTGCTGGTGTGCGTTTGTGCATGCTATGTGTGTATGTGCATTGTGTGTATATGATGTGTCTTTTCTTTGACAGGGTCTCTCATTCTCGGTAAAGCCTGGCACTGTGGTGGCCATGGTTGGCCCATCTGGCGGTGGAAAGTCCACCGTCGTCAGCCTAATTGAACGGTTCTATGATCCTAACTCTGGAACTATCCTGCTAGGTATGTTGTTGGGAGAGGGATGGGATGGGGGTAGGATGTCGTAGACTTGGCTTGGCAGGGTCTGCCCACACCTGCTATACCCAGACCAGCAGTGTTATACAGCATGTACTAGTCATGTGACTGTGCCACTACTTCAAGTTCATTTCTTGTTAGTGCAGTCCCAGATATAGTTCTGTTGTTACCATAGTGATGTAAACAATGCCCATAAACGTTGATCAGCACCTGCTGTCACACAGCTATCTGCGTGTTGTCATGCCTTTTCGTGTACTCTCCGGGCACGTGTACGTATGTGTGTGTGTGTCTGTGTCTGTATGTCTGTGTCTGTGTGTATGTGTGTGTGGTACATGAATGATGTTTGTAGGGGACACAAAGCTGGACCAGCTGGACCCATCCTGGTTCCGGCAGCACGTGGCCCTAGTCGGTCAAGAGCCAGTTCTCTTTGCATACACCATTGCGGAGAACATTGCCTATGGGCGAGCGGCCACACGTGAAGAGGTACTGCCTGCCAGCACAATACCTACTGTGCATGCATTCTGATTCATGCTGATTCGTGCTGTATCATGCTGATTCATGCTTATGTACAGTATAGTGCTGCATGTGAGGTGACAGTGGCTTCACAGCATGCAATCCAGTGGTTTCAAGAAGTCTTCTAGTATATGTACTATCAAATTTTGTTCTTTTTTCCTTTTCTTTTTTGCATCACTGAAAAGTAGAGTTCATGCTGGGTACAATGGACACACACGGCAATGCGAATAAGAAGTATCGGTATTGATTCATTGCTGGTTACACTAAGAGACGCACACAGCACTGAGCATTCTACGTGGTATAACTCTTGCTTGTTCCTTGTATTACTTGTGATTCTGATTTAGATTGAATCAGCAGCTCGCAAAGCCAATGCTCATGACTTCATCACGGCATTTGAGGTCAGTTTTCACTGTATCCGTTCGTACCCAAGATGGCTAAGTTCTTTGTGTTGCTGTTGTTGCTGCTGCTGCTGCTGCTGCTGCTGTTGCTGTTGTTGCTGCTGCTCCTGCTTTTGCGGTTGCTGTTGCGGTTGCTGTTGCGGTTGTTGTTTCAAATCTTTATTCTCACGATGGCGTTGTTTCAAATCTTTATTCTCATTGTTGTTGTTGTTGCTGCTGCTGCTGCTGCTGCTGCTTTTGCTGCTGCTTCTGCTGCTGCTTCTGCTGTTGCTGCTGCTGCTGTTGGTTCAATGGGTGTTTTTGTTATGTGTGATTGCTGTTCTGGGATATACCACGGGAGCACTGGATGCATTTAGCTATAAATTGTTTGCGTTGTGTGTGTGTGTGTGTGTTTGTGCGTGCGTGTGTGTGTGTGCGTGCGTGTGTGTGTGTGTTGGTTGGCTTGTTGCTCTTGCGTTGTTGCAGGACGGATATGACACGCTTGTCGGTGAGCGCGGTGTTCGTTTGTCCGGCGGCCAGAAGCAACGCGTTGCCATCGCCCGTGCCCTGCTCATGGATCCGTCTATTCTTCTTCTTGATGAGGTGCGTCTGCTCACATTTAAACAGTAGTGCATGCGTACAGGGCTATTTTCGAGTGCTTTGACAAAGTAGGTGATTTGCACTCTCAGTCCAGTGAGAGTGCGCAAGAGAAAACCTTCATTTGGCCCTTTTGTGTTGGTACGTGTAACAGTGGCACGCTGACGTGATGCCAGTGAAAAACCCGTTGTTGATACCAGTATGTACACACGTACTGTCTGTGTTGGTCCTGTGTGCTGTGTGCTGTGTGCTGTGTGGCTCTCTCTCTCTGCCTCTCTCTCACTCTCTCTCTCCCTCTCTCTCTGTCTCTCTCTCTCTCTCTCTCTCTCTCTCACTTACTCTCTTTCTCTCTCTGTCTCACTCACTCACTCTCTCTCCACCAGGCTACCAGTGCACTGGACGCTGAGAGTGAGTTTCTGGTTCAGGATGCCATTGATCGTGCAATGGAGAACCGCACCGTGCTCGTCATTGCCCACCGCTTGTCCACCGTTCGAAACGCATCCAAGGTGAGCCGTCGCACAGCCCTCATTTCCATGCATCCTGTTCTCGTGGGTAGTCTACATGTTTCGTTTTACTGTCACACAGCACATACTAAGTTAATGGGCATATTACGGTCTGTGCATGGGAAATATCCTTTCACTAGTGAAGTATATTTAAAAGATCTCGAACTCGCAATGTGAAGTGGTTCCATGAAAAATGTAACGTTGTCGTGAATGCATGTTTTTGACATTGTTGCTCATGTGTGCACTGCAATTTCCCTCAGGTTCTGGTAATGAAGGGTGGGTGTATTGTGGAGGAGGGTACGCACGATGAGTTGATCGCCATCAATGGTGTTTACAAGCGCCTTGTCCTGAGGCAGTTGGCAGGTAAGGGTGATCAAGACCTGTTGATTTCTGGCACTGGCAATGCCCTTCTTGGAACAAAGCCAATCAACGCCGAAGATGACAGCAGTAGTGAGGCGGATGTCAACGCCACCGAAGATGACATCAGCCGTCGGACAGAGGTTACTACTAGTACTAGTGCAGCCTTGTACACAAGTACTAAGGTTTAGCTGAGACAATTGCTAGACATGCGTGAGTACATGCTTGCAGCGTGTTTTAGTGAATACCTGCGCAGCTGCTGCTGCAGTGCCTAGCTGCGAGCTCACCTCTCTGTGAGTTATCGGTCTCCTTACCAGCTCTCTCTCTCTCTCTCTCTCTCTCTCTCTCTCTCTCCTTCTCCGTCCCTGCCCCTTCACCTGTACCCATCTTCCGTCCTTGGCCTCTGGGCCTGAAGAGTAATGAAATTGCCCCAATTGGAAAATCCCAACTTTTGCACTATTTATCCTCTCAAAGTCTATTCATGCTATTGTGTGTGCTCTGTTACATAATCTACGTTGACTCTAAAACAATATTTATAGTCTATGCATGTGCTGGCAATTCAGTACGCACATTCACATCATCCTCTAGTCATAAGATTAGTACTCCTGGTGGTGTGTGACCGAGTTGCCACTGCTGTCCCTGCTCTCCATATATGCATAGTGTTACGACAGTAGTGGCCGGTCTGGCCTTCGTACCGACTCGAGTATTTCACAGTAACCGGTTAGCCATATTACAATATTTAGTATTATATTAAGTATTATATTAGCAGCTGTTTTCTACCTTTTCTTACCACTTGTATGTTTTGAACGGATTTTGACACCTAGGTTGTCTGGCAAGTTTAATTGTCAGTGTTACTCTGCACGTCTGAGTGCATTTTTTTCGAGTTGTTTACTTTCAATATTTTTTTCGTTTTCTCCGTGTGGGTCTAGAGCTTTCTGGTTTAGATGCTGTTACAAGATAGTAAAGATTATAATGATTATAAAAATCTGTTTCAAGATCTTTCGTTCTTGTGGATGAGTGTGTGCTACTGAGTTTTAATTTTAATTTTCAGACTGAAATGCACAGTCCAGCAGAGAACGTGAAGTGAAGACAGAGCCAAGGGGAAGACATGACAACACAGCAAGTGTGGTGCAGCTATACTCGACAATGCAGGTGTGCACATGCAAAACAATGTGATGTGTGCATATTGCCGCACCGCACCACAGTCCACTACAGTAGACTGGAACGCCCCCGGCCTGCATGTACAGACACAGTGCATTCATGCTTGCAGGTGCACCGGGCAGTGGGCACGCTGATCAGCTGACCAGCAGAGCTACACTTACCTACAGTATGTTCACCACACCCAGTTACTGTTAACTGCATTGGGAACTCGAGTCGTGGCCTGGCACGGGGGAAACATGGATGCAGTGAATGGGATTTTTTCGGTCTTTGACCCCTTTGCTGGTGGGCTGATCTACTCCCCTCCCACCGCTTTAGGAGCTGCATCTGCGCTTAGATCTTCAAGTTGCAGGGTGCCCCGGGTGGTGTTCCTACGGATGCTGAAAACTCAGTCTAACTTACTGGGTCTCAAGTTACTGAGTCTCAAGCGAACAGTGATTTTAATACCACGATAACAAGGTCCAGTGGAGTCGCGCGCCCAAGACCGTTGTTTCCAAGGGGTTAGCCTGGGACGTTCTTATTTTCAGCAATCTGGCTGCGTTCATATAACACGTTCTTAGAAACAAAACCGTACTGAATCATATGTACCCACAAGCTGCCAGAAAACCAACAGTGTAACACCGCCGTTCTTAGCTTTAGGCTGTGGCGTTCTTAGAATTTCAGGCTGGATGTTCTTGGGCTCCACGTTCTTCAGCGCGCGACTCTGCTGTATGTGCGATAGACTCACTCACAGCAACGTAGATCTCGCTTTGAAAGCACTTCATAATAATAATTTTCTTTTTCATATTTTTATGTAAGCAAAGGCTGTAACTGGCAGCATTGTAAAACACTTCCCACCATACATTGTATAAATAAGATGATCACAAGCTAACCTAACAGGGTCAGAACAGCAAGCTGTCCGGAGATGGAGTAAAAATAAGATGACACATGTAGTTGCCAGACATCCTCAGAATTGGTTCAGGTCGGCATGGTTACAGGGAGTAGCATCCATACACAGCAGTACAGGTTTACGCTGGGTTGAAGATCACTAGTTTCTGTCAGACACCTCCTTCCTAGGTGAAGTGTTGCTTGTGGTGTAGACAACTTTGCCTATAATCAGTGGCAGAGCCGGAATGGACAAACACACACACACACACACACACACACACACACACACACACACACACACACACACACACACACACAATGCTTTGTTAGGCCATACCAAACTGTACATTGGTAAAGAAAATACACTGGACATGATTCATCCGGTAGAGTTGTGCGTGGAAGAATGTGGAAACCAAGAATGTCCAACCTGAAGTACTCCACATACATACACACACACACACACACACACACACACACATGTGCGCACGCGCACGCACACACACCAAGGGCGTCGGAAGCGGTACGACTGGTACGGCTCGAGCCGTACCACTTTTGGCTCCAGGTGGTCCACGCGGAACGTCCAAATCCGGTGTAAAAAAAATGGAGGTATCGAGTTTGTACATGACCACGCGTGATCGTGAGCTGCGATCCGTCACCGGTGCACCAGTCAGGTCACTGGGACTCACTGCACCGTGTAACGCGTAGACTGTCGACTACGGAACTTTGTACCTTTGGAGACCCTCTGAGAGGGGTATTTTGAGTGTTTTTTGAAAAAAATCCTGCGGGAAGTCTCCCCCGGACCCCCTCTGAATGTCGAGCCGTACCACTTCCTACCGACGCCCCTGCACACACACGGATGTGCGCACACACACACGCACACATACCGAAGTTTTCCACAGTTACACTTGGTATTGTATAGTATGGTATGTATGGGCTTCAAATAGAAAGTATAAGAATTCTGAAACAAAGGTGGCAGGTACAACGTTACACCTTCAAGCAGCCGAGCCAGGTGGCAACAGACCCAACACTATCTGGCATACGTGCACCCACCATCCGAACTAACTCACATGCACGTATACGCATACACACGTACACACACACACACAAACACAAGCACACATACATAGAAGCCTTACCGGTGTAGTCATAGAAGGTAACAGTGGCTTTTGACGCAGTTAGCTCAAAGCTGGTGAAGCCACCTTTGCTTGAGAGGTGATCCGATGGACCGTAGTGAAAAAGAACAGAGTCTTTTGGCACAGAATCCTGCATGTAATGAGTAATGCATATGAAGATAGACCATAGAGATACCGGTAAGTCATTATGACAGTTCCTATCCAAATAGTGTTGAAATGTCATAAGAAGATTTAGAAGAAAACAGCAGCGGTATAACTAATGCAATCATCGATACGCTTTGTATCGTTGTGCAGGCAATGGTCTGAACACACGCACGCACACACACACACACACACTGACCTTGTGTGCCGTGGAATCATCGATGAGATGTCCAGCACCCGTTACAAAGTAGTCAACGTCCTGGCTATGTGGGTGGATGTGTTGCATGTTATGATCGTGTCCATTGACATAACTGAACAGTTTGAAAAGGGTCACAGCAGAGTTCGGCCATACACGTAAGATCAGATTTCAATCATAACACTAATGACAGTAACAACTACTTTGTGTTTGGACCGACTGAGTGTCGCTCCCCCTTCTTGCGGCAGCCGGGCTTCACGGCCTGTTTTACTACTACTGTGGTAGGTTATGAGTTTGACTGTGATGGGTGAATGTGGCTTGAAATGTCACTGCACTACATGACCTTGTATAGAGACCTGATGAGATGGTATACATAGTGGATAGAGACCCGATGAGATGGTATACATAGTGGATAGAGACCTGGTGAGATGGTATACATAGTGGATAGAGACCTGGTGAGATGGTATACATAGTGGATAGAGACCTGGTGAGATGGTATACATAGTGGATAGAGACCTGGTGAGATGGTATACATAGTGGATAGAGACCTGGTGAGATGGTATACATAGTGGATAGAGACCTGGTGAGATGGTATACATAGTGGATAGAGACCTGGTGAGATGGTATACATAGTGGATAGAGACCTGGTGAGATGGTATACATAGTGGATAGAGACCTGGTGAGATGGTATACATAGTGGATAGAGACCTGGTGAGATGGTATACATAGTGGATAGAGACCTGATGAGATGGTAAACATAGTGGATAGAGACCTGGTGAGATGGTATACATAGTGGATAGAGACCTGGTGAGATGGTATACATAGTGGATAGAGACCTGGTGAGATGGTATACATAGTGGATAGAGACCTGGTGAGATGGTATAGTGGCTAGAGACCTGGTGAGATGGTATACATAGTGGATAGAGACCTGGTGAGATGGTATACATAGTGGATAGAGACCTGGTGAGATGGTATACATAGTGGATAGAGACCTGGTGAGATGGTATACATAGTGGCTAGAGACCTGGTGAGATGGTATACATAGTGGACGCATCCAGTACAAACAAACAGCAGCGGTACTGCGGTATTTATTTATCGTGCGTCCTTCCCTTCCCTTGGCACATATCCCGTGGGCATTAAAAAGCAAAAAGCAAGCTTAACTCCTTGCACAGAGACAGCAAGGTGACTCCTCCAAACAGAGGCACAGCACTGAGTCCATGCGCTACCAATCCCCACTGAGTGTCTACAGTATTCTCCGGAGTATAAGCCACATTGGAGTATACCCTCCACTGGAGTATAAGCCACACTGGAGTATGCGCTCCACCGGAGTATAAGCCACACTGGAGTATGCGCTCCACTGGAGTATAAGCCACACTGGAGTATCTGCTCCACTGGAGTATAAGCCACACTGGAGTATACGCTCCACTGGAGTATAAGCCACCCTGGAGTATGCGCTCCACTGGAGTATAAGCCACACTGGAGTATACGCTCCACTGGAGTATAAGCCACACTGGAGTATACGTTCCACTGGAGTATACGCTCCACTGGAGTATACGCTTCACTGGAGTATAAACCACACCCGGATTTTTGTCACGAAATACAGACATCTACCCATTTAGGGTTACCAATGTTAATTTGGTGACAGCACATCTAGTATCACTGCTAGAGTCGCATCATGCAATACGGTGGTGTTCCTCTTCTTTATAACACAAGCATCAACAAAGCACAGATACACAACGGTGACGTACGCTGTGACTTTGTACTTCTCCAGGAGTGGACGCACATTGTCTACAAGGTACTGCGTAGGGCCGTGCTCTGCAATAGACCAGACTGCACACCGACATTGGTGCAAGAAAGTAGCACAGTGAACCAGCCGTGGCCAGTACAGTGAAGTACACACATCATTTCCAACACGGCAATAGATGTTGCATGCATGAGGGCGGGAATTGAAATGGGAATTCAGTGGCAGTGGAATGTACACTGAGTCCCACGTCCACAGAAAGCCAGCGCACAGGCATTGTATGCATACAAGCTGTAGATTTTGAATCCACTGTTCACTATAACAGTTAGTGTGTGTAGATCCGCAGCGGTGAAGAGTCGGCCATGACTCAACACCTACCAGGATACACGATGTGATGTCACGGTTCTCCTGTTTTACAAGCCACTTCGTCACCCCCTGTACTGTAGTGTTGCTAGCATCCACCCGTCCTGCATGTACGGTATGTATGCCAGAATGTATGGAATATAGCCCGGGCCGGCCCCGGCCGAAGGGGATGGACCTACATGTAGAATGTAAGCACATGTATGCCACCAACCGTGGATGCGTTCAGTTCTGTAATTTCACAAATTTTCAGTGCACTCCTATATTCAGTGCTTTCGGTGCATCTGTTTCATACCTAAAATGATTTCAATAACCGAACAAACACTAACACACATAATCCAATAGGGAACTGCTTCTCTGTACCTAGAATTTCTGTTCACCGAACCTGGACTTTGGCTCTCATACCTAAAGTTTTGAGCACCTAAAATTTCTGAAATTAGGGATCACACACCAACATTTGAACTCTGAGCTGGGTATGCAACTACTTGACTAAGTTTTGGCTTGCTCACTTGTGCTCCGTGGCCTACAAGGTAGAAAGGGGTTATGCCCTACACGGTAGTGTCTGTGTGTGTGGGGGGGGGGGTCTATGCCCTACAAGGCATGGCTTGTGGCCTGTCTACATGGCTGCTGTTCTGTGACATGAGGCCGCACAGCCTGAGTGGCTGGTCAGCAGCACAGCACCACCCTACCTGGATAATGACTGTACATCACCACCCTACCTGGATAATAACCTCAGAACACCACCCTACCTGGACAATGACTGCACAACAACACCCTACCTGGATAATGACCGCACACGTACAGCCAGGTGGCCTGCGATTGTGAGAGCGTCTGCTCCAACCACTGCAGCTGCTGATCGGCCAGACTTTGGTCCTCCAATGGCACGGGTGGCAGTGAGCGATGGACGGGATGCGATAGGCCAGCCAGCAAGACAGTATCGATCATCACAATCTGCACCGTGGCTCCTCCAGGAATGGCCAAAGTCTTGTAGGTACCATGGCGATTCAGAATACACAATGTGTCATTAGAAAGAAGTAATGCAGATTGGGAGAGATTATTATTATTATCATCAAACATGACTGTGTTCAGTACATAGCACCACCCCCCATCCCCCCGGTACATGCCCCACTCCCCTCCCCCCCTCTCCCCCGCTACGTGTACGGATCCTGACGTCTTATAGGGCACACATACAATGTAACTGCTGCATGGTACATGCGTAGCATCACTGCCTGTGACCAGTGACAGCTGCACTAGTAGTAGTACGAGTACAGTGCTGCACACACTAGTAGTAGTAGTAGTACGAGTACAGTGTACAGTGCTGCACACACTAGTAGTAGTAGTAGTACGAGTACAGTGTACAGTGCTGCACACTGTGATCTTACCTCACTGTAGTACAGTTCCGGGAAATACCAACGCTTGCTACGCTTTGTGTAGGCCACCTGGGCCGTGGCGTTGCCGTAGTGATCATGGTTGCCGGCCAGAACGTACCATCTGCTCATCAGGCTGCTGGCGGTGTATACATCCTGCACAAACACAGTTGCAATCGGTGAGCATGATGATGCAATGTGAGCATGATGATGCAATGTGAGCATGATGATGCAATGTGAGCATGATGATGCAATGTGAGCATGATGAATCGTTGGACACAATCATTCACAATGTACACACACCAGGGTATTTTACGACTCCCTGACACACACTGTGCGCGGCATGTGTGATGCTGACAGATGATATCCGAATTCAGCCTGGACCTGTGACTTGGCACAGCCTAGAAGTGTCCCATCCTCATAGACTTGGTCAACAGGCTTTGTGTGGGCCATCAATGAGTAGTACAATACCTTCTCCCTGCTTTTCATGCTCAGGGTTCTAGCCAAATGGTGTGTATGTGTGTGTGTGGGGGGGGGGGGGAGAGCCCCCCCCCCCCCCCCCGGCCCCCCTACCCTGATAGCATGCCACCATACTCATTTTTCGATTTTGTCCTTTTTCAGCTCACACAGCGAAAATGTGGCCACAGATCAATCGTTCTGGGCGTTTGGTGCAACCGTGCGTTGCACTTTTTGTGACAAGGCAATAGTGGAGCATGGAGAAACGGGTGAACTGTTTGTTTCCCCTAACCCTCCCCCTCCCCCAGCCCCTACAATTGTTTCCTTGTTAGAATCCTGATGCTATTGAAATAGATAATAGTTATTCTTCAGCGTCATTTCTGGCATTGAAAGAAGCAAAGTGGTCACATGGTGTAAAGTGGTCACATGGTGTCGGAAGATACTTAGTAGTAGTAGTAGTATTTATTTTATTTACCATCGGATGCCTCAACAGTGATACACACAACTCTTAAGAGGGCCGATAACGGGATAAGTGGAAAGGAAAGGAAAAGAAAGAAAAATAGAAAAAAAATTGGAATTCAGACATCAAGCAGTACAGTAATCAAACACCAACTTTACGCCAACTTTACGGTGGTACGGTCAACCACCGGAAGTAGAATTTACTTGTGGGGTCGGAGTGGCTCCACTGAAATATTTTTCGAAATTTAAAGCCCAAATGGGTGCATTTTATTGATCCATGGGGTGTCGAGGCCCGAGGGCAAAGAGTGGTACAGTCAATACCGTAGTGACCGTAGTGTGTCCGACGCCGCTGGGTCAATACGTGTACGTGTAGGTATGCAATCTCCCAGCACGCTGATGCAGTCATTCTTTTCATCTCGTCATGTATTGTATTATTATGTTTGGTATGATGGCATTCATGTCTGCAAAACCCAGTGCTCAGACTTCACCTGCAACCAAGTGCTGCTGCAGACAGTACAGTCACCGAGTGAGCAGAGCACGATCACGATTATCGCTAGCTCACCTCAAAAGTCTCCTTAAACCTGGGGTCATCCACATTTTTCACTCCCTCGGTGTAGAAGTTGTCGCCTAGGGCGAGCGTGAAATTGGAGTTGATTGCAGAGGCAAGTTTGCCCATCTGATTGGCCACGCTCTTTTCAGCCGGTGTCGTGTATGGTTCATGACCCGATCCGCCCCAATCACCGATCGCCAGGAACGTCAATGAATCAACGACTTCAACCGAAGCTGCGGATACTTGCAGTCCTCCGGCTGTGGCTAGCAAAGCGACCACAACACTGAACGACGCGCTAGCCGAGAGCATGATTCTTCTTGTTTGACGACGACTGCCAAGTGATAATAATGATAAATCCACGCAACAAACCCACTGAAGTGAAGGCACTGTTTTCTTATTTCGAGGCCTGGCTTCTGAAAACTGAACACTTATACTAGTAATAGTATGTCTTTGGCCTGTGCTGCAAATCATTGAAAATGCCCCACAGCTTCACTTCAGCCTGTTCAGGTTCAGTATCGCCGCGTGACCTCTTTGTGATCTACGCCCCCAACCGTAGCCATGGTAGCTGATCTACTAGAGTCTCGGAGTATGCAGGTAGAGTCTGCTGGTCTACATGTCTACATCTACCATTGTACTATTAATAATAAAGAAGCCTCAACCAAAGACATAGACTGATAGAGCACTAGCCAGGACGAGGACCTTAGACAACTGTCTAGGGAAACTTCTACTTCAACTATGTTACTTTCAAACTACAATGCATAGTATTTCAAGTACATGTACATGTACATCTTCCTGTTGTGCACTCAATCTCTGGACAGCTGCATAATGTCACTGTAGGTCTACATCATCACAGTCATGTAGCTATTTCCACCTTGTTAGGTCTCCTCAGCGGAGTTGAGAGTGACTGGCCCAACCGGTCGCAATGAGGTCGTCTATACGATGTATAAAATATATATGTTGGACCGACTATGTAGTGAATGATGTCTACCTAAAAGTCTTTACAGTTGATTCCAAGTTTGAACTGAGTACGGTCACCATACCGGTACCGGTACTACCAGTATGGATTTTGGACAAGTGAACTTTATTTACTGTGAAGCCAATTGGCTGGACTCTATACAGGGAGTGATGTACGTCTAAACTTTGCAGTTGATGTCCTTACAGTTGATTGCAAGTTTGAACTGTATATAGTGGTTTCTTTGGACCAATGGACTCTGTAGAGGGTGCGGACCTCATATAGGGGCTGAACTGCCTACTGAGTCCAACATATGTGTTGCAAAAGAAGGATCCACGAGCATCTTATTATCCATTAGCACTCGGCTGAAGGCCGGAGATAGGCACCCACCGGGCTGGCATCCAGCAGCCAAAGGTGGGGCCATGCATCATATGGATATTAAATATGATGGTAGCTACGTAGGTAAACAACGCTGAATGGCCACCGATCCCAAGTAATAGTTGCTCGTGCTGTTCCAAAGGTCAACCTTCCACTGAGCCATGCTAACAGTCATAAGTCTGCGTACGGATTCGTGTATGCCAAACAGCTCCAAACAGCGCTCAATCCAATCGTGGGGAACCATGTCGTAGGCCTTCTTGTAGTCGACCCACGCCATGGCCAAATTGGTTCTGCGACGCTTACTGTCCGCCATAGCGGCCAGGTCAATGACGAGTTGATCTTTAGTGCCATAAGTTCCGCATTTGCAACCTTTCTGCTCATCAGGCAGCAGAGATGACGCCTCAAGATGGGGTGTGGTCTTATTGCTCAGAATGCTGGAGAATAACTTCCACATGACTGGAAGGCAGGTAATTGGTCGGTAATTGGTGACATCAGCTGCACTCTTGCCAGGGTCTTTCATGATCAGAACTGTGCGACCATGATTCATCCAAGCTGGCACTTCGGCATCCTGCAGACATGCGTTAAGCATTCGGGCCATTGCAGTATACAAAGAAGTAAACTTCTTCATCCAGTACCACTGAACACCGTATGATCTGGGCCTGGCGCCTTCCAGTACGGCATGCCAGCTAAAAACTCTTGCACATCCGTAATGAAAATGCACACCTCATCTTGTCCTTGAACATGTACATGTAGTCTTCTGAAGTTAGTTCTGTGCAGTTCACATTGTAAAATTTGATCAAACATATACATATACTGTAACATGATAATAATACCACATAATTATTTCAATGACAGAAGAGATACTAGTAGTAGGACACTCCCATGATTTTGAAAAATGCTACGCAAAATAGTACGCAAAGATTTAAGTACGATGTTTCACGTGATTCAGAGGTCTGTAGTGTAGAAAAATGATCAGGAGCATCACATTTGCAGAAAAGAAGAAGAAATGTGATGTGAATGTGAGGAAAATGGGCTGTTGAAACTTACTTGTGAGGAAAGTAATACCGGTAGTTGTTTGTCAGGTAGAGGTTGTGGTATCCTATAAGGACGTCACATGGCGACCGAGGGAACTACTCATCGGCTGGTGGAGTACGGGGCCAGAGTTACCTACGAAGGAGAACTGTCGAATTCGAATGGCCGGAAGAAAGGTGTTGGCACACTCACCCTGGCGGATGGAAAAGTATACTCTGGTAGATTCGACAATGGCTACTGTGATGGTGTGGGAGTTCTGACGTATGATGATAACTCTTCATACCGAGGGGAGTTCAGAGAGGGGAAATTCCACGGATTTGGTGAGCTGCGTCAGGGCTCGTCCACTTTCCAAGGAAAATTCGTCACTGGCCAGGTCACCTCGGGCAGATTGCAGACGACTGTTGGCAAACGGCTGATGTCCGTCAGTGGGTCTTTTGCTAATGGCTCCGTGTCGCGTATGTCGGAATCCAGTGTGAACGAGCTTGTTAGCAAGGCAGTGGCGTGTGCCGAGCAAGCTGACAAGGAGGCAGCCAGGTGCAAGTAATCTCTCCAGTCTCATAACAGTCATGTTCACAGCTATCCCCTTGAGGATCATGGCAGCAAGTCAGCAGTCTTCTTCTGTTCAACAGCTCTGCACTGGGTTAGATAAGATGATCGCCGATCAGAATACAATCATGTAGTGCGTTTGGACAGTAACTGGTACATGTACTGTGTAACTGTTGCAGAATGTAGCGAAGAGACCATGCACCTGTAGTGAGACCGTGGACCTGCTGATGAGACCGTGGACCTGCTGATGAGACCGTGGACCTGCTGATGATACCATGGACCTCTTCACCACTGAAAGTCTGAGCAGTGCTTGTTTTGTTGCTGGTAACACCTGCTCATGCATTCTACACATGGCGAGAAAACACATGCACCACACATAGAGACCGAGTGGAGCAAAACTCTACAATTTAACAAGGTAGCTCCACCGCAGTTGAGTATGGACATCGTAATGTGTGTGTGTGTGTGTGTGTGTGTGTGTGTGTGTGCATATTCGTCAGAACATGGGTGTGGCATAATTGTTTGCTTCTATCAATACCATTCCCGCAAAGAAGGTTCCCAGGAGGCACCTGGTGTCGCCAGCTCACTTCCTTTTACCATGGCAGCTGTACTAACTTTAAGCAGCTGGCAGTCTACCGGAGTGAGAGAAGTTCACTGTAGATGACCATGTAGATCCATGCTGGATCACAAGTACTCTTATAATATCTACAAGTAGACTAACTGAAGCTGTAGAGATGCAATCCAAAGTTTGCGACGTTTTTGACACTATTAAATCGATATCAATTATTTCGATGGCGACGGCCTACCATTTTTAAAGCCCTGTCCTGATTAATTTACGAGTATGTAGAACTTCAAAGTAAGATTAATTTAAAACTGTTTTGGTGCTTTCTTGCCCAAAGTCTTCCCTGCCGTGTTATAATCTGTTAATTTTTGTTGTCCGTGACTTTGCTAACATTCATTGAGCCAGCACACTATACGATAAAGTTAATGTACATTTATAGTGTGAGGCGTGTGTGAGGCCAATATGCATTCTCAGTGATCATTCTTATTTTTACCTTAGTTTACAACATACAAACAGTGCAGCTTTGAGGTAAAATTGGCAATTATTTAAAAAAAATGGGTTCGCACAGGGCAGAGAACCAAGTGATATACTTGTAATAATATTATAATATATATATGTGTGTGTGTGTGTGTGTGTCACTGTGTGTGTATGTGTGTGTGTGTGTGTTCCTGTGTGTTTATGTGTACATGTGTGTGTCGTGATCAGTGGCAAGTTGGTGTGGCTCTCTAAGTTCGCTATGATGTCATAATAATTATGAGGAAGCACAGGTGATCGTACCCGTTATACAACATGCGTTGGCATGTCTTTTCCTGCTCGATCACATCATTCCACAACAGTGCCGCACATTATTCTGCATCTGAACTGCTACACGTAGTACCGAGGTTGGTGCATAAAATTGGCTTGAAAGTTTGAAGCTGAGACATACCCTGTGGTGGCGGTGGTGAACTTCCTAATTTACAACTGTCTCTAACTATGTCTATCACGGACAGTACATACAGACTCGCATGCTGCTCTGTGCAACTGAAGCAGCTCTGCAGACCATGGAAAGACTGCGAGTGTGTAAGTTTGTTTTAGAACCTAGATCTGTACGTATTAATTAACTGCATGGCAGTCTTCAAAGTACTAGTGCGTTTGAGATTGGCTAACGCGTTGTGTCACTCCCTCATCTTCCCGCTCACATTTCTACGGAACTGTGGAGCTCCGCTCGGCGTGCTCAAGCGGCGGGTACGTCGTGGAATGGCCACCCGAGACTGCTCTGCAATGACTCCTCCGCCGTTGGCCAGTAGTTCTTCAGTGTCGGACGAGGGTGAGAGGGGCCCAACGGGCAACTGCGGCTGGCCGCTGTGGACGTGGACCATGTCGAGATAGTTGTCGTCCTCGTTCAGCTCTCCGCCGTCGTTCATTATGACATACTCCTGCGGCTGAGGCGATGGATATTGCTTACTCCACGCCGCTGACTCACTAATGGTCATCGGTAGCAGATAATCACTAACAGTGCTCTCCAGTCCCGACGCATTGGAATGCGATGAGGCCAGTAAAGTTGACTCGTGAGATGCGGGTCCGCTCGCCGCGGGAGTATGTTGATTCTCTTTCCTCGACGTGTTGAAAAGGACTTGGCCCGTCCCCGGGTCCTGGGTTAGGTCGGTGGCAGAGCGCGTTGGTCGGGGCAGAGTGGGACGTTGTGTTGTTGGTATCGCGGGTGGTGCGCGCACATCTTGATTCGACGCCAGGCGCTGTAGTGCTACCTGGGGCAGTTGTCCCTGCAGTTGGGCAGAGCCAGGATGAGTGGGGCTGGTGATAGGCCTGCTGTTATCGGCTGACATTGATCTCGGAAGGGTGGTCGGCAGTTCGGCTTTGGCATTATGTGGCAAAGGCGCGGGTGGACGTAGATCAATCGACATAGGTCTTGAGGCATGTGCAGATGTTGACTGTGGCTGCTGCTCTTGCTGGTGCTGCGGCTGTTGATGGTGATGCTGCTGATGATGGTGCTGCTGCTGTTGATGGTGTTGAGGTAGGTGTTGCTTAGTGAGCGAGTGGTCTGCCCCGGGTTCGTGCATCTCAGACGGTAGGGGCAACGGTCTGCGTGCCGCCGCCGTGCTTTTCTGCTGAGTGTACTGCACACGGCGAGCTAGCGACTCCGATTCGAAGAGCGGGTTGGTGAAAAGTGTCGTGTCCTCCTCTCTGTCGCTGGCGTGCATGAGCTGATGCGCGGAGATGCTGAGGCGTACCTCGCCGGCCTCCCGCTGCCGACGCTGCTCTTCGCGTCTCGTCCGCTCTGGCACACCGCGCTGATTGTTCTGCGCCGGACCCCTGTGGTTATCCCTCTTGCCACTGTCCTTACCCTTGCGCTTGGCAGAGGAGCACGAGATGGCGGTGACTGTCAGGGCTACCAGCCAGCCCAGTCCTCCTCCGCCCACCACCGCCCAGAAGAGTGTTGTATGCCCAATCAGTGGCACCACGCAGTCACTCTGGCCTGGATCAGGGCTTGCCGAGGCCGCAGCACGTTGTGCTGATGTTGCACGATCCATGGCGGAAGCGGCGGTCGGACAAGTCAGGGGTTGACCTACACATAGCAAAAAGAAAAACCAATATTCACAAGTCTGAGGGACTGAAAAGGGGAAGATTTCGAATTTTGAAATTTCCAGGGGAGAGACGGCTTAAGAATGGTACCAGTATGATGGCTGATTGGACCATACTGAAAACACTGAAAAGTGAAAATTTTGCGATGCGACTATCACATGAAGCCTCATATTTCAAAAATTGCAAGTAGCAACTTGGGCAGTGATAGCAGACAAAGCGGATTGCTTCTAACGTTACGTGGACCACACGCTTCATGCCCTGCTATCTGGAGTCGCACACAAGAAGCATATTGGCAGTCTCCTCGTGTGCTCATGACGGCGATCGTGAGTTGGCCAAAAGTCAAATTCGGCAGAAGGAGTGCTGCCGCCCACGTAGGAGTAACCAGCGCCTCTCATATTTCCCTTCATATACGCATGCTGCAGAATACTGTACCAGAAAGCTGTTTGTGTTCAAGAATGGCATGTGAAATGACTGGTCAGAAAACCCTGGATAGCCACAGTGCAAGCTGAAAGTGCTCTCACAATGATGTCCATACCTGCCAGTTTCAGCTCGGTTCTTGATGATAGGTTGCCATTGTCAGCCCTGCAGCGGACGTGTGCGATTTTGCGCCGCAGTAGGTCGGTCATGTTTAGTGATATGGTGCTGATGGTTAGCGAGTCGCCTTGGTCTTCTGTCACATTCTGTGAACTAATGCCGGGTCCGACACGGTGGTCAGTCTGTGATCCAACCTGCCCACTTGTCCCGGCATCGATCATCACCCCTGACCAAGAAATTCTCGTCGAGCTGGAGTTGCCCCTGATGGCGCAGGTTAGAAGCACTAGCGAGGCAGATGCAATACTGTGCTCATCATAGTAAGTCGTGGCCGGTAAGCTCACGATGAATTTGTCTGCAGGTGGTAGTTTTAGTGAATCAACCAACAACAAATCACATACATAATGTTCATACCTTACAGTGATCAACTCAGAAACATAGCAATGTGATACACATACAAACTAGCAATGCAATGAACACTCAATTACTTATTGAAACGCTATTTGAGCTAAGATCAGTTCTAGGAATTATTTCGAAAGGAATTCTCAAATTTGCAAGTTTGAAATGATAGGTTAGAATATCTGGTTAGGCCTGGTGTTTATGTGTCTTAAAAATGACAACAAAGATTCCGGTACTAACAGTGGTGGAATTTGCTGTTCGTTGTGCCACTAGTACAGAGGTAGATATAAGACAGGTGGGTGGATGCATGGATACATATTGGGGGGGGGGGGTGTATGGAGAGATTGCTGGATACAGTCAAATGGATGGATGAGTGGATGGTGTTCAGATGATAGGATAGATAGACGAGTGCTGGGTTGATGATTGGGCGGCTGGATAGGTTTATCGCCAGACAGATAGATGGATGGATAGATGGGTGGATACTGGATAGATAATTGTTCATGAGTGGACAGCAGGATAGATGGGCTGATGGATGGATGGATGCATGGATGGATGCATGGATGGATGGATGCATGGATGGATGGATGCAGGGATGGATGGATGGATGGATGGCCAGATGGGTGGATCACTAGACAGATTGAAGTATGGTTGGGGGTGGGGGATAGATGGACAGGACGGGTTGAGCGGATGGGTGGGTTGACGGATGGATGGCCAGAAAAATTGAAGGATGGCAGGATAGATGGATATGAAGAGGGAGGAATAGATGGAAGGACTGCCGGATGTATGGACGCAGTTGCGGGTAGATGGGTGGGCGGATGCGCGGACAGTCATGGTATGTATGTATAGACAAGAAGAGAAAGGTACAGATGGACACACAGACAAACCAGTAGGCAGACAGACAGACAGACAGGCAGACACACCGACAGACATACAGACAGACATACCGACAGACATACCCCAGAAAAAAACCCGGAATGCTGGAGTTACTACAGTACAGATGTGTAAACAGTGTTAGCGTGTTACGGTGCAACGTCCCTCGTTGATGTGCTCACCTTCAGCTAAACTGGCCCCTTGCTGCAAGATCACGACCAGCATTATCAGTGTGCTGATCAGTGGCATACTCAGCCAAGTGATAATCATGCGTCTACAGACAGGGCTAGGGCTGCACTGTATATGTCCAGTCCATTGGCGCTGCATGCTGTGATCTTAGCCGCATCCACGGTGCACGCACAGCTATTTGTCTACAGATGACGCGATGCTGACTACGAGTATGCACATGCACACACGTAGGTGGGGACCATGCACACACACACACGCACACGCATACACACACACACACAAACTCGCGCCCGCGCGCAAGCACACACCACAACGTACTACCCCGTGCCACTAGTGCAGCGATTCCCGGGAGCGCTACTTCGCCGTCGCCTGCACACCCACTGCGGAGGGAGGTGAACAGCTGGTCAGATGGTTTCTTGTCGCTCTTATTGGTAGCACGCACGGTGGCGAGAGATCCAGCTTGCCTCAAACAGAGGAATACGTAGATAGCCGATAATATTATTATAAGATCTCCAGTTCCCGACTGCTCTCAGGAAAGTGCCATTGGTGGATTGCGACCAGTCAAAGGAGCGCTAATACCGAAAAGGAAAGTCCTCTCACGACATCAACCATGAACTTTCTCTGTCCTCAGATTCTATCTTTGATCATATAATGGGTTTCACAAGCAAGCTGATGCTCCGGAGGAATCAAACAGCCCATTGATTGGAGCGGACGAGCACGAGAAAAGATGTTGTCCTTGTCAACGGTGTGCTAATAATATTGGGCGAAGAAAAGATTTTGTCCTTGTCAAAGCTCTGGTAAAACACTGCTAATGTTCGCGAATGAGTGTGATTCGATGCGCATTCATATGACAGGGGATCCATCGATGACACCTTCGAAATCCGCACGTAGTCGTTCAGAGGGAGAGAGACACCATTTAGACTACTATTCATATCTCTATCTCTGAATCACGTAGATCTACGCTTTGATGGGGAAGTGCCAGAGATCTGGTATGTTATGAAAACACTATTGCCACAGAAATTGGCAAAAGAGTGCTGTAGTAATATTTTCAGTCTTCCACTAAAACTTGCCCACGGTGTAGATCTACCCGGTAGACTGAGGTAGTGAGGGGCCCGTAACGTCGAGGTCGGGATAAGAGGGATATGGGTGTATAATACTATAACAGTATTACAGTCAGTAGTACAGTCAGTAGTACAGTCATTTAGACCTACGTGTAGATCTACATGATTGTAGAGATGTGTGTGTGGGGGGGGGGGGGGGGGGGGGTGGTGCACGCAGCACGCCTTTTGATCTGCGCCTGTGGACTTCAATAACTGGAGACAGGTCTGCGGGCACGAAGTGACACATTCTGCAGAAAGATGCAGACTGCTGAGTGATATCCACTCGGTGGTCCTTGGGATAAGGCCTGCGCATGGCCCAAATAAAGCAACGTTGCAGATCCTTGACTCTCTACTACAGTTAGTCTCTACTAGACTCCGCAAGACGACATCGCGTTCATCGGTACTGGATTCCATAGTTTGTGGTGCTGGTCGTCCGGTACATTAGAATTATTATGCTTGTACATGACTGTACTTTTGGGAGCTAGCCTTTGCTTAGCCCTACAGTGGATTATGCCCGGTAAATTGCTGAATTATGCTTTCCATTATGCCCAAACTATAAGTTATGCCAGTGATTATGCTACATGTACATTATGCTGGAATAATGCCAACGATGGTGCTATACTATGCTGCGTTCCAATCTAATGGTATGGTGAACTCAGTACAAACAGCCCTTGGCAGATTATGCTCGGTAAAATGCTGAATTATACTTTCCAGTATGCCCAAATTATGCCAGTGATTATGCTACATTTTGCTGGAATTATGGCAATGATGGTGCTATCCTGTCTGGCCTTGTACCTGCTCAGTATAGGTACATATTATTATACTTACTATCACCATTGCAAAATTAATAATTATTGTTGTTGGCAGTCGTGTCGTCGGCTTACGACGTGGACTCTAGGCCCCTCTGACACTCACTTCGGGCCTTGTATTGTGCCAGTGCGGGGATCATGTGTGGAGGTCCTTACTGTAGACACCGGTACACTACACATGTAGCTGGGGCCTTTGATTAGGTCTCACACACCGGCGTGCTACACAAATCGTGCACCATTGGCGTCCAGGGTCCTCTTCTAGCCTCGCCTACCTCACAGACCGCTCACTGCAAGTGGCCATCTGTGGCCAGAGCTCCAACCGGTTTCCCATCTCTGCAGTGGTGCCACAAGGCAGTATACTCGGCCCATTTAACTATCCATTCGATGATGCTGGCGGTTGCCTGGCACCAGAAACTGACCGATGGGAACATTCGCAGACAACACCACTCCGTGCGCTTGTGCACAAGCACGTCCAGACGCCGTGAACAAAGCGGAGAACCTGCAAGTAAAGTTACTTGAGGTAGTTTCAGTCAATGCCCTGGCAGGGCCTGCATGCCTGGGGAACGAAGTAGCCAGTGAAGTTTGAGCCTTCCAAAATCTCAGCGTCTCCACATCTCCAGCCGTCGGCAGCATTGGCATATGCCGGCTCCCACGTTTGGTGGTGAGGTCATCCCCCAGCAGCAGCAACTGAAGAACCTGGATGTCACGCTTGACTCCAAGCTCAGGTTTGGCGCCCACATCCGGACAGTTGCGGCCCGGGCGAACTGACGCATTGGACTGCTGTACAAGGCAGCTCGAGTCCTGGACGGTCCTGGCAAGTTGTCGTGCACCGTGGCTTCGTAAGGCCACTTCTTGAGTATGCTTCCCTTGCCTGGATGGGAGCTGCTCCCACCAACCCGGAGCACCATCGGCGCGCTCAGCGACAGACCCTGCACATCCTGCTGGGGCCCAACGTGCTGCTGTAGAGCCTCGAGGGTTCAGGCAAGGCGGACAGTGGCAGCATGGTCATTCCTGTACACGCTGCTGTGCCTGCCAGGTCCCCCTCTACCCACAACAATGATTCCTCCTCGCCTCAATGCCCCTGTTGAGCCTGTAACTTGCAGGCAATGTCGGCAAACCGCCGGCCATCCATACCAATTTGCTAACACTCTCCCCTCAGCGTACATTTCCGTTCAACATCATTGACACCTGGAACACGCTCCCGGCTTCCCTATTCACCAAACCACCATCCCTCAAGAGCCTCCAAGCTTTCAAGGCAAATGCGCACCACTATCTTCGCCGTAGCCATTGGCTTTGGGCCACTAACTCTCTCTAGGAACACTTTAAATATCAGGATGCATGCTCCCCTTATACATTCCTGTACTCTACTCTCTAGACTCACAGGACTGCTGTTGCGGTGTTGGGCAACCTTTTCATCATAGCCTGTTCACTTTCTTTCTTCACTTCAGATTAGCGGTTATCATTGCCAATAGTCAATACACTGCTGTCGTCTCTCTGCAATCCGTTGCGCCTACCCGACCAATGACATGTATTACTCTTCATCAGGAAGCCGTATTATACTACTCCCTGCTCTTCTTTACAGACAGTATTATTATTAGTTTTGCATAGAGAGGTACGAGGTTCCGGAGTACGATTTTCCGTGCCAAAATCTGTAGTCTGTGTAGAGCTACATTGTAGGCGCTACGGATTTTTTATACGTCGTTTTCGGGTAGTGAAATGTTCCGGAGTACGGCTCGTACGATCGTATGTATATCGGGCTCTCCGCCTTCTCCGTGAAAATAAGAAAAAAGCGCTCGTTCGCGCTCTCCGCCTTCTCTGTGAAATAATAATACAGTTGTGATCGAATCCATGTGGTCAATGCATTCTAATCTAGGTTGCTAACATAACAAACCAGACCAGACACGGACCGTCGGTATGGACTCATGATTGTATGTAGGTGTGAACAAGTTAGTTTCTGGAAATGTTGTGATGTTTGGTTTCCGCACAACATTGTCGATCTGTATGTTTGCACTAGCGTGCAGCTGAACCAACGCAGCCGAACCAACGTGGCTTGCAATGCTTTGCTAGGTTTTTCTTTCACTATCTTTTTGGTCACATATAATACCGTATACTTTTCTTACTCAACAGAATCTTAGAACGAAGAAGGAGCGGTCGGTTGTTGTCTTTGGCGGTGTGTCGGATCATAGTGCATGCTACTAGGCGCCATTCGGTTACACAGTCATAACAAAATGGATACATGAAGTGAACCAAGAACAGTTAGCGAATGGCAGCATCACTGACTGCCTGGAGCACAGACGAATCCACACTACGTGTAGGCTGCAGCTGGTACATGCATGTGAACGATTGTGGATTGTGGGGACCATCTCCCTGCGGGCTCCGAACTATGTTACTTGCCACCTATGCGGATACGACCCTCTACCAGTGCCTGTCTGCCACATCCGACATCGCCGACTCCACAGTGCAGCTCCAAGCCGCCATGGACAGTGTCGCTGAGTGGGGCGCAGACTGGAGAGTGACATTTGAGCCATCCAAGTCTCAGGCGATGACCATTGACCACCGTAAGCCACCCCCACTGGCCAGCCATGCCACCAGTACTGTTTGCAGGAGTTGCCATCCCGGAGGAGCGGGCTGCTCAGTGTCACGTTTGATACTCAGCTGTCCTTCTCAACCCACCTCCACTCCATTGCAACCAAGGCTGCGCAGCGGCTCCATTTCCTTGCCAAGGTTGCCCCCGCCCTCCTCTGAGTCCTAGACGCCGGAGGTCGCACAACTGTGTACAAGGGGGTTGTCCGCCCTCTGTCTCTGATGGAGTACTGCTCCTTGGCGTGGATGGGCTCCAGTACCTCCCGCCTGGACAAGATGCAACACAGGCCGCTAAAGATCATCGGCCCCGGAGTTTGGCTTCCCAGCCTGGAGCACCGCAGAATGGTTGCATCCCTGTCGCTCCTCTTCAAGCTATCGTATCTTCCCCCGGCGAATCCGCTTTAAACGGCCATGCTACCAGCCCCAGCCGACCCACGCCCTCCGTGCAGACCATCGACCAGGCTGGCTACTAAGACTGCTCAGCAACACTCCCGGCACAAACCCGAAGTAGCCTCCGCAATGGGTTCCCCGATTGCGCCATCCCAACGTGGAACAGCCTGTCAGGACACGTCTTGCAATCTGCACCGCACCCACAACAGCTGCAGTCCTTCAAGGAAATGTGGCAGAGAGCAACTTGCGCTCTTTAAGTTCTGATTGACCCCCATTTCCCTATCCAACATATCTTTTAATCGTTATCCTTCTGCAGTGGATGTGTGGGCGCTAATACTGGGCGCTGCACTTCCGTATACATGTCTTGCTCTCGTCTTGTTTTTCCCCCTCTCTTATGTCTTTCTCTATTTTTCTTGGCGCGCTTTGTCTGTGCAGACGCCGGGACCACCAAGGTCGGCTGAGCAGCAGGGCCCCGTGCCGCCACCACTTTCCGCATTCATTCCGGAGCATAGTGGACTTAGTACTAAAAAATCGACCTCCCCAAACACCACTCGCAGTTACTTCGAGCCTGGCATGGTCTGCTGTCGACTCTGAGGAAGTCCTGTTTCGTTCGTCAGTGCCGCGGATACGTGTGTGGTCACTGGCCTCAGTGGTCTGGGTGTAGGTACCAGTACCGGTGTGGGTGCGCAGTATCCTGCGGAAAGCTGGTCAGTTCGAACTTGTAAGGCGGCGTCTTTGGCGGTGCTGGGATTGACTGGTCGAACGGACGGCAATGACCTGTAGTAATAACCATTGTCAAATGAACAGCAAAGCCTCGCCAATCGGCCCAAGCACTAAAGCCACAGTTCTAGAAGCAAGCACAGTGCAATGGGATGGTGTATGCT